GAGTGGCTGGCTGAGGTGCCATCTGCTGAGGAAGTACTGAAGGCGATCCAGAGTCTGAGACCAGAAAAGGCACCGGGCAGAGCTGATCTCCCAAGCGAAATGCTGAGGGAGGGTGGCGTTTGTGCACAGACTGCCCTATATGACATCATAACAACAGTCTGGACCACTGGATGGGTTCCGCAGGATTGGAAGGATGCCCTGGTGGTCCCCCTCTTTAAGAAGGGGGACCGCACAGACTGTAACAACTACAGAGGCATCTCACTTCTCAGTGTGCTGGGAAAGGTCCTGGCAAGGATTATTCAACATCGCCTTGCCAGGCATGCTGAGGAGAGGCTTGCGGAGCCCCATTGCTGTTTCAGGAAAGGGCTGTCCTGCACAGATGCCATATTTTCTGTCTGTCTGCTACAGCAGAGGTGTAGGGAATTCCAACAAGACCTACATCTCTGCTTTATTTACCTGGTGAAGGCCTATGATACCATCAGTAGGCCTGGGCTCTGCGTTGTTCTTCGTGCTTTTGGAGTACCTGACCCTCTGCTCACGATCATTAAGGACCTTCATGATGGTGAGCGGGCCCGGTTAAAACTGCGAGGCCGGGAGTCAGAGCCATTCCCTGTACACCTTGGGGAGCAACAAGGATGTCCTCTGGCCCCCACATTATTTAACATCTATTTTGACCACGTAGTTCGTGAAGCCTTCAATAGCTGTACCGGGGGAATCTCCATTTGGTAGGTGCGGTCGAGGGATGGCTCCCTATTGCTCAACCACGTTATGTATGCCGATGATTTGGTAATAGCTGCTCATTCAGAGGAGGAGTTGGAGACGCTGCTGCTGAGACTGGACCGTGCCACTAAGAGGTGGGGCCTTACCATCAGCCCCACCAAAACTAAGCACCTGCCTGGGTATTTTGTACCATCGGACATTCCACCCCCACAACTCCCAATCGGTGATGGGGCAGTTGTGGAGAGAGTGGAGAGTTTCCCATGCCTGGGCAGTGTGCTTATGACCGGCTCCAGTTTAACAGCAGAGGTCTCACTCCGAATCAGTCGAGCGGCAATATGTTTTCATTGGTTGCGTAACGCTGTGTAGAAGCTACCTGGTCTGTCGCTACGCACTGAGCTTCAGGTCTTCTCCGCCACGGTCATTCCCTCCCTTCTCTACGCTTGCGAAACGTGGACCCCCTTAATGGAACACCTTCGCCGGTTATAAACATTTAGGCTAGCCTGCCTACGATGCATCCTGGGTTTAACCAGACTGGATTGTGTGAGGAGCTCACAAATCCTTGAAAGATTTGGGCAAGGTCCCATCGGTGAGCGTGTTGTGTATGCGTATTGTGTGTGTGTTGTGTGCGTGTTGTGTGTGTGTGTTGTATGTGTGTTGTGTGTGCGTGTTGTGTGTGTGTTGTGTGTGTGTGTGTTGTGTGTGCGTGTTGTGTGTGTTGTGTGCGTGTTGTGTGTGCGTGTTGTGTGTGTTGTGTGTGTGCGTTGTGTGTGTGTGTTGTGTGTGTGTAGTGTGTGTGTGTTGTGTGTGTGTTGTGTGTGCGTGTTGTGTGTGTGTTGTGTGCGTGTTGTGTGTGCGTGTTGTGTGTGCGTGTTGTGGGTGTGTGTAGTGTGTGTGTGTGTTGTGTGTGTGTGTTGTGTGTGTGCGTTGTGTGTGTGTTGTGCGTGTTTGTTGTGTGTGTGTTGTGTGTGTTGTGTGTGCGTGTTGTGTGTGTTGTGTGTGTGTTGTGTGTGTGCGTGTTGTGTGCGTGTTGTGTGTGCGTGTTGTGTGCGTGTTGTGTGCGTGTTGTGTGTATTGTGTGTGCGTGTTGTGTGTGTGTGTTGTGTGTGTGCGTGTTGTGTGTGTGCTGTGTGTGTGCGTGTTGTGTGCGTGTTGTGTGTTTGTTGTGTGTGCGTGTTGTGTGCGTGTTGTGTGTGCGTGTTGTGTGTGTGTGTTGTGTGTGTGTCTGCGTGTTGTGTGTTTGTTGTGTGTGTGTTGTGTGCGTGTTGTGTGTGTTGTGTGTGTGTACGTGTTGCGTTTTGTGTGTGTGTTGTGTGTGCGTGTTGTGTGTGCGTGTTGTGTGTGCGTGTTGTGTGTGTGTTGTGTGTGCGTGTTGTGTGTGCGTGTTGTGTGTGTTGTGTGTGTGCGTGTTGTGTGTGCGTGTTGTGTGTGTGTTGTGTGTGTGCGTGTTGTGTGTGTGTTGTGTGTGTGTGCGTGTTGTGTGTGTGTTGTGTGTGTGTGCGTGTTGTGTGTGTGTTGTGTGTGTTGTGTGTGCGTGTTGTGTGTGCGTGCTGTGTGTGTTGTGTGTGCGTGTTGTGTGTGCGTGTTGTGTGTGTGCGTGTTGTGTGTGTTGTGTGTGAGTGTTGTGTGTGTGCGTGTTGTGTGTGTGCGTGTCGTGTGTGTGCGTGTTGTGTGTGCGTGTTGTGTGTGTGCGTGTTGTGTGTGCGTGTTGTGTGTGTGTGTTGTGTGTGTGCGTGTTGTGTGTGTGCTGTGTGTGTGCGTGTTGTGTGCGTGTTGTGTGTTTGTTGTGTGTGCGTGTTGTGTGCGTGTTGTGTGTGCGTGTTGTGTGTGTGTTGTGTGTGTGCGTGTTGTGTGCGTGTTGTGTGTGTTGTGTGTGCGTGTTGTGTGTGTGTTGTGTGTGTGCGTTGTGTGTGTGTGTTGTGTGTGTGCGTGTTGTGTGAGTGTTGTGTGTGTTGTGTGTGCGTGTTGTGTGTGTGTGTTGTGTGTGTGTCTGCGTGTTGTGTGTTTGTTGTGTGTGTGTTGTGTGCGTGTTGTGTGTGTTGTGTGTGTGTACGTGTTGCGTTTTGTGTTGTGTTGTGTGTGCGTGTTGTGTGTGCGTGTTGTGTGTGCGTGTTGTGTGTGTGTTGTGTGTGCATGTTGTGTGTGCGTGTTGTGTGTGTTGTGTGTGCGTGTTGTGTGTGCGTGTTGTGTGTGTGCGTGTTGTGTGTGTTGTGTGTGCGTGTTGTGTGTGTGCGTGTTGTGTGTGTGCGTGTTGTGTGTGTGCGTGTTGTGTGTGCGTGTTGTGTGTGCGTGTTGTGTGTGCGTGTTGTGTGTGTGTGTTGTGTGTGTGCGTGTTGTGTGCGTGTTGTGTGTGTTGTGTGTGCGTGTTTTGTGTGTGTTGTGTGTGTGCGTTGTGTGTGTGTGTTGTGTGTGTGCGTGTTGTGTGCGTGTTGTGTGTGTTGTGTGTGCGTGTTGTGTGTGTGTGTTGTGTGTGTGTCTGCGTGTTGTGTGTTTGTTGTGTGTGTGTTGTGTGCGTGTTGTGTGTGTTGTGTGTGTGTACGTGTTGCGTTTTGTGCGTGTGTTGTGTGTGTGCGTGTTGTGTGTGTGCGTGTTGTGTGTGTGCGTGTTGTGTGTGTGTTGTGTGTGCGTGTTGTGTGTGCGTGTTGTGTGTGTGTGTGTTGTGTGTGTGCGTGTTGTGTGTGCGTGTTGTGTGTGTTGTGTGTGCGTGTTGTGTGTGTGTTGTGTGTGTGCGTTGTGTGTGTGTGTTGTGTGTGTGCGTGTTGTGTGTGTGTTGTGTGTGCGTGTTGTGTGTGTGTGTTGTGTGTGTTGTGTGTGCGTGTTGTGTGTGCGTGTTGTGTGTGTGCGTGTTGTGTGTGTTGTGTGTGCGTGTTGTGTGTGTGCGTGTTGTGTGTGTGCGTGTTGTGTGTGTGCGTGTTGTGTGTGTGTGTTGTGTGTGCGTGTTGTGTGTGCGTGTTGTGTGTGTGTGTGTTGTGTGTGTGCGTGTTGTGTGTGTGTTGTGTGTGTGCGTGTTGTGTGTGTGTTGTGTGTGTGTGCGTGTTGTGTGTGTGTTGTGTGTGTGTGCGTGTTGTGTGTGTGTTGTGTGTGTTGTGTGTGCGTGTTGTGTGTGCGTGTTGTGTGTGTTGTGTGTGCGTGTTGTGTGTGCGTGTTGTGTGTGTGCGTGTTGTGCGTGTTGTGTGTGTGCGTGTTGTGTGTGTGCGTGTTGTGTGTGTGCGTGTTGTGTGTGTGCGTGTTGTGTGTGTGCGTGTTGTGTGTGTGCGTGTTGTGTGTGTGTTGTGTGTGTGCGTGTTGTGTGTGCGTGTTGCGTGTGGTAACTGAACCGGAATCTCCTGTTCTACACGAGCTAACAAAGACAAAGATCCCCCGTGTAGCCTGTAACAGACTGCAGGGGCAAGTGCTGTTGTTGGCGAGCGCCAATGAAGGCCGACACGGCACATTCCCGAGTTCGATTCCCGCTCACGGCCACCAACACCACCAGTGACGATTATCCGAACCGGTCATGGGCCTCCCCTAGGTCGACTCAGCCTCAAATGAGTACCTGGTGCAGTGTGTAGTAGACATCGCCACGGGGGAGACAAAGGCGGCCGGGCGTGGTGCTGACCCACCCACCCCCTCGTGTGCCACAGTGCTAACTGGCTAACGGCACTTGCCCCTACAGCCTGCTGCAGCCTACACGGGGGACCTTTGTCTGTGTACACCGTAGAAGTTAAGGCATACGCATCTTAATAAAGAATTAAAGCTTTCGTGACTGCATAAATTACTCATTGGTTTTTTCGGTAAAGTCACGTATGTAGAAATACCATAACATTTATTTTAAATTTATTTTAATATAATGTTATGGTATTTCTATATACGCATCTTGATGGGTATATGAAGTTAAACACTTTAGTCGGAACCCCTTGGACATATTTCTCCCCGAGGGAGGTTCTATTACAGCTTTAACACATTATTTGATAATCTGATTTTTTTAAGGTAAAGCAAACCAACTAATTAATTAATTAAATTCCACTTCATTAATACTCTTTGGTTCTTTGGGTAAAGTCACGTAGGTGAAAACATAAAATAAAAATAAATAAAAGTAAATTAAATCACGACGTTTCGATCGCAACACAATCAATCATCATCAGGTGTGAAAACCACAGCAATAATTTGTTTCTTGCGATCGAAACGTCGTGATTTAATTTACTTTTATTTATTTTAAAAATTTTCACCTACGTGACTTTACCGAATGAACCAAAGAGTGTGGATCCTCGCAGTCACGAAAACTTAAAAGTTATTTAATTAAACTAAATGAATTTCTTGTCAACCGGCACTTTCTTTCTCAGCGCGTCTCGGCCACCTCTGCCCGCGCCGCGAAGGACCCCGACTATAAGAGGCTCCGCCCCGCGCGGCCGCCTCTCTTCTCGCCGCCATCTTAGGGTGAGGATATCTCTCCTCTCTCACTCACCTCTCTCGCACCTCTTCTCACATCGTCAACCCCCTTCCGCTCGTCGTTACCGCCACTCGCTCTCGGCGATCCTCAACCCTCCGCTCTCGTGTTTCCCTCCCCCCGCAGTTCCCTCGGCTGTCTGCCCCACCCCTCCCCGGAGCGCGGAGACGCCACGAGGCGCTTGGAGGCGCGCGCCATCACCATGCAGATTTTCGTGAAGACGCTCACGGGCAAAACCATCACCCTCGAGGTGCCGCGCGACTCTTCCCCCACACTTCGCCTGCACCACACAAACGCGCACCGTCGCGGGAACGCAAGGCGATGGAGGGGGGGCGGGGGGGGGGGGGCGTGGGGCACCTGGGGCTGCGACCTCGTGGCGTGCGGCCTAGCGCGCCGCCGCTGCAGCCTAGCGCGCCGCCGCAGCAGAGGCGACACAAATGACAACCATAACCGTGGCGGCCGCCGAGACACCGCCGCGAGTGGATAGCAGGAGGAGGAGGACGAGGAGGGAGAGTGGCAGTAGCGGCAGTTTGTGAGCAGGAGGCCGTGTCCACCACGCGTGTGTGGGGGGAGGCGAGTGAGCGGGAGCCCTCGCAACATTGCCGTGTCCACCACCATGGCCACCACGTGTGTGTGTGTGGGGGGGTGAGCGGGGAGGCCCTCAACCATTGCCGCCTTCCGTCGTTCATCCGCCGCCTCTCCCCGCGAATGCGAACTTGGGACGGCCACGGATAGACGGGGGGAGGAAGAGAGACGTGTGATGGGCCCTGGTGGTGGTGGTTAGGCGATGTTGGCCTGCGCGTGGTTCCTCAAGTTGATTGCGGCCTGGACCCCCCCGCGTCTCGCCTCGCTTTGAGCACGGACACGGAGTGCCGCGTCGTCTTGGTGTCGTCTGCGTGGTCTTGGTGTCGTCTGCGTGTTGTCGTGAGCCATTAGACACACCGCGTGTTGTCGTGAGCCATTAGAGACACCGCGTGTTGTCGTGAGCCATTAGACACACCGCGTGTTGTCGTGAGCCATTAGAGACACCGCGTGTTGTCGTGAGCCATTAGAGACACCGCGTGTTGTCGTGAGCCATTAGAGACACCGCGTGTTGTCGTGAGCCATTAGACACACCGCGTGTTGTCGTGAGCCATTAGACACACCGCGTGTTGTCGTGAGCCATTAGAGACACCGCGTGTTGTCGTGAGCCATTAGAGACACCGCGTGTTGTCGTGAGCCATTAGAGACACCGCGTGTTGTCGTGAGCCATTAGCCACACCGCGTGTTGTCGTGAGCCATTAGCCACACCGCGTGTTGTCGTGAGCCATTAGAGACACCGCGTGTTGTCGTGAGCCATTAGCCACACCGCGTGTTGTCGTGAGCCATTAGAGACACCGCGTGTTGTCGTGAGCCATTAGAGACACCGCGTGTTGTCGTGAGCCATTAGCCACACCGCGTGTTGTCGTGAGCCATTAGCCACACCGCGTGTTGTCGTGAGCCATTAGAGACGCCACGTTGACACACGTGTTTGATTGGGGCTGGATTACCCCCACTTTACCCCACCACGCTCCACCTGCCTATCCACTCGCTGACCTGCTGGTGGACAGGGGGAGGGTGAGGATATAATCAATGTTCCCCAATTCGGCCGCCTGTACCGGGAGTTGGGATCGAACTGGCGACACCTTGAATTTGCTCGGCCAATTGTTCTGCTTGCTAATCGTACCACGACATGGAGTGGGGAGAAATTAAATACCACGGTGTAGGACGTGCATCCTCAAAACGTTTTCCTTTTGGACCGATAAATAACATTGTTGACACTTAGACGTAACTTATGGATGAATGTGCTACCAACAGCGTGGATGCATGGTGAAAGGCTGCAACATTGCCACCCGGCATTGATGACATTTCCCACTCCTGTCTTGTGTTCTGACCGCAGGTTGAACCCTCGGACACTATCGAGAATGTGAAGGCAAAGATTCAAGACAAGGAGGGTTTGTCTTGCTATAGCGTCACACACTAAAACAACTTTAAAATATTCAATAGAATCTACTCCACTATTCAAAACCATAAACTACTCAAACAGTTTCAGCACAAACACTATATTCGTAAAATGCTTTCTAAACACAAAAAAATACTTAGAAACGCAATCACATCCACCATACCCTTAGAAAATAACAATTTACCGGCCTCGAAACACAACAGAACACATCAATTCACTCAAGTATCAACACGACACAGTGCACAACATCATCAACCAGACTAAACCCTCTGACACATCAACCCCTGGCCAAACTTTATTTACACTACAGGCCCTTCCAACACCTACCCCAGCGATCACGTGCAAATACATCTCTCACTACTGGCACAATTCGAAGCTTATTTAAAGAATCAAACGTCATACCACTGATAAAAATCCATTACTATACATCAATGATCCAAACAACTTCATAGATCTATCTCGCCTAACCTTTCTGAAATCAAAAACACTTGGGAAAAATTGCCATTCAACACTCTAAATCACTGCGAACAACTTTCCACATACAAACAAATCTGCATCAACTACGGCACTGAATCAGCTCTGAGTGTACCAGACTGCACTACGCAACATGGACAACGCCACACCTACAATCATCACTATCATCCTTGAACCTGACGACAGCATTTGACACCGTAAACCGACCATATTCTCATAGACTCGGTACTGACTTTGGCATCAGTCAGTACACTTACAGATTACCTACAAAATATCCACTGCTACACTCGCGTTCAACAATAAAGCATCTTCCCCTTTCCAAATTACCTGTGGAGTCTCACAGAGCTCCATTCTTGGACCACTTCTCTTCAACCCTTGCATCAAACCGCTCCGCACCTTAATTGCAAACCTCTTGACGTCAACCTTCTAACTCGCTATAACGCAAGGAGCCACTGACCACAACTCTAAAACTTGTGCTCGCAAACAATTTTTTAAAGCCAAACGTACAAAAAGCAAAACTCCTCTTTAACTGTCGCCAAACAATGACGACTTAAGCGTCTATCACAGCAGACTTCTTGGTGATAGAGCCAACGCAGTTAACAGCTTGGGCATCACTTTAGACACCAGGTTACATTTCTAGAATCACAGAAAGCTGCACATTACCATCTACACAACATCAAACGGAGCCCCCCATACATACCTCTCCATTAAGAAAAGAGGTCATCCCTCGTACTCGGAATTCGGTGACGTCTTTGGCTAGATTTTTGCAACTCACAACTTTTAAGCATAGCTCAAACATCGCTACAACGCCTTCAAGTAATCATCCAGAATAATGCCGCAAGACTTTTTAATTTGCAACTTCCCGGAAAGCATCCCACATCACGTGATGCAAACTAAAAAAACGTACACTGGTTACCAGTCAAAATGCAGAATACAATTCTAAATAATCTTATTAACATAAACAACAACACTAACTACAACCACCAAAACAATGAAAAATAATAATAGGTTTTACCCTTTATGGCAATAAAGCAGGAGTTTTGCAAAGACGTTCAAACACCAAATAGGTGCCTTTTGCGAGGTCTGCATTACCCACACAAACTAGTGGCAAAACATGCAAACAAACATGCTCTGATAATGTATGCATTGTCTTTGAAACTGATCGGCCTACATCAGAGACAGCCTTCTTCACGGCCTTGTCTCACCAGTGTCAGACCAGAGGACAACACCAAAAGGCGAACAGTAGGGTAAAACCTATCAATTTTTCATCATTTTGTATACTGGAAAAAAAGGAGGTCCCATAGAACACAAAGCAATTGGGGGGTGAACAGACCTTTATTTGCAGCGCCACACCTCTGAAACATCCGCCCCCGAAGCAATCTGCACATTCGACGCCATCGCTACATTGAAATCACAACTCACAACACCTCCACACTTGTATGCAACTAACTCGCAACCACAGCTTCAGTTGAACATGTGGTAGGCTTTCGTGACCAATATCCATAATCGAGTTTTTTTTTTCGTTAAACCCGCCACCACCTGACACAGCCAATTCGGCAAGGTTTCTCACGTACACAATATACCAGTTACTAATTCGGCACACCGGTTGTGTTGGAGAGTAAAACCCTGCAACAATTACAATTTGAGGGCAACGCTTCGCCAGTAATTAGATCCTGCAACCACAACTTGTTTTGATTTTTTTATATTTGTAAATATTTGTTTTCCATTGTTTAGAATCTTTCAAATGTTATGTCGAGTTTGAATCTGATGGCGATTTCAGTGGCAGGATTGTATGCCAGAAAAGTGCCACGTATTAAACATTTTATCGACTTTACTTCACACGCACAATCTCATCGGTGCCCTGTCACGCACACAGAGAAGATGTAATTTGTCAAGGGAATTTGCTATTGGTGCCCCGGTGAAGCTTTTGAGTGAAGGCTTGAGAGTGATGCGTTATTCGATCCTTTCAGGGATCCCTCCAGACCAGCAGAGGCTGATCTTTGCAGGCAAGCAGCTTGAGGATGGCCGCACGCTGTCCGACTACAACATTCAGAAGGTACGGCTCCTGCGCTCGTAAACGAAACAGCTCGGCGCGCGGAGTTGTTTGCGCCTCGGTGTGGAGAGTTAGCCGCTGGCTCACGCCGCTGCCGCTTGGGATTCTTTTGGCGACAGGAGTCGACGCTGCACCTGGTGCTCAGGCTGCGCGGAGGCGCCAAGAAGCGCAAGAAGAAGTCGTACACGACCCCCAAGAAGAACAAGCACAAGCGCAAGAAGGTCAAGCTCGCCGTGCTCAAGTACTACAAGGTATGGGCGGCGGGGAGCCCGTCGCGTACAAATCGCCCGGCTGTGTCTCCCAGTTCTTGGGAGAGGGTGGGGGTGGGCGACATTGCGTCTGGGTAGCACAGGAGACAGTGGGCACACTCTGTACCGAGCCAGTTGAGTGGCCCCGGTGGCGATGTTAACTACCTCGCCCGGTGTACAGGAGGGTCGTGGGTTCGATCCCGACCCTGACTGATGCCTGCTTGTGTATTTGGAGTGTGCGTGCCTTCGTGGTTGCGTGGATTTTCCTCCGGGTCCACCGGTTTTGCCCTCGCCGTTTAGAATTTAAGTGTACTTGGATGCTATAAATTTGCACGTGACGATGAGCCCCACTTTGTCGTCGAGCTATCGTTTGTGATAGCCGGGTCGCTCCTGAATAACGGCTATCGTGGCTCGGCGGGCTTTTCCTGGTAAAATATACACTCAAGCGCTGTCTTCCGGACAGTCCTGTTCACCTGAGGAAGGCTACTTGTGTTGTGACCGAAACGTCGTGACAATTTTATTCTATTATTATTTTGGTCCCATTCTATGTGACTTTACCGAAAGAACCCAGAAGATGAATCCCTGCAGTCACGAAAGCTTTAAAGCAAAATAAAATATACATAGTTAAATACGCGATGCAGACGATGCGAGCGCACGCTCGGGTTCACGAGTGGACCTTGGGACTCTCGGTAAGGGCAGGCGCGGAAACAGCAATCTCCATTCAGGGTCCACATGCCCCATCCACCATCGGTTCTGGGAATTGTATGCACTGCTGAAGTGAACCGTCCTTTGGATGAGGGATTTTCAAGTTTGAAGGGAACCCCCCTCGTGGCTTCCTTCACAAGAGTTGGGCTGCTGTGCACACTTGTTAACCCATACTCCAAATCATTAAGTTATCTGCAACTGTGCTCATTGCAGGTTTCGCCTCAGAAATCCCCACTGGCATCTAGACTGTGTGGGCCAGCGTAGAAATTGACACCAACCAAAAACAGTCGTCCCATTTTAATAATACGGGCAAGAAAGAGTTAATTATTTGATGTCCCACTCGTTTTCAGATGGTCACGAAATAATGTCTGGGCCCGGGCCCGCCGCAACCTCCCGCCGCCTTCGCCACCCAGGGGCGTTAATTGTAATCGCTGTGCCGCGTGACAGGTGGACGAGAACGGCAAGATCACGCGTCTGCGGCGCGAGTGCCCCTCGGAGGAGTGTGGAGCCGGCGTCTTCATGGCCAACCACTTCAACCGGCAGTACTGCGGCAAGTGCTGCCTCACCTACGTGTTCAACAAGCCCGAGGAGAAGTGACGTGTCACGTGTGACACGTGCGGGGGGGGGGGTCCCCGCCCCTCTCTGTTAAGTGCCGCGATGGTTAATAAAGAAGCCCTGTGAACGGCAGCGCGCCCTCGTGTTGTCTCCGTTGCTCGGTGTGTGCGGAATGCGTGGTCTTGTGGGAAGGTTTCTGGGATACATTGCTGCTTAGCTTTCATGACTGCAGGAATTAATGTTCTTTGGTTCTTACGGTAAAGTCACGTAAAAATTAGAATAAAGTGAATGAGAATAAAACTAAAACCACTGATGTAGGCTAGTCTGGTTCTTAATTGGAGTGAGTGTACTTGCAGTATAATGTAGACTGTAGCCTGGTTTTTAAGTTTGAGTGTACTGGCAGTCTATAATGTTGACTTGCCTGGTTTTTAAGCTGGTCAGCATATTGGCAGTCTATGATGTAGACTGTAGCAATGGTTATTAACATGAGTGAGCATATTGGAAGTCTATAATGTAGACTTAGTCTGGTTCTTTCAGTAAAAATACCACGACGTTTCGATCGCAACACAAGCGGTCATCAGGAAAATGGGGGTTGGCCTCTGAAGGCAAACTGTATAAAGGTTTAGATGGGCTTAGCCCAAGTGTGTCGTCAGCATGGGTGGGACAGCTAATGGTTTAATGTAGGAGAAAACAACGCTAAGGCAGCGGTCTCCACCAATCAAAGAGCTGCCAGGCAATCATTGCACCTCGCTCCACATACCCACACCGCTAACAGTGGTTGACAAAACATCAAGTCATGACCCAAAGTGGTTGATAACATCTTTCCAATTATGGCTGAGTTTATAACCATCTTGGTTGAAAATGTCTGGCTTGATGAATGAATCTTTGTTGATAGCTTGTAGACTTTCAAAGTACCATCGTCTTAGAGAAATACATTTCGTGTGAGCCAGCCACATGATAATGATCAGCCACGGCAGAAGTATTGGTCCTACCGTGTTTCAAATCCCATTTTGTGCTCAAGAACACGGTCTGAGACATGTTGCTTAGTTTCCCCCAATGTAACTGCTGCTGCAGATGCAGCTTAGTTTGTAGACGTTGGGATATTGCGTGTTAGGGCTCTTGTCCACATGGGATCGGATCACGAATTTTATGTACTGTGTTAAATCGGACCTGGATCTTGTGTTCATGATTTTGGAAATCTTTTTGGTTTACCGCTGCTATGTATGGCAAGGTGATGGTTTTGATTGGATCCTCAGATGGCTCCTTCCTCACGGTTGCGGTGATGCCTTTGCAGATTTTGTAGTCAATATCTGTGATCTCGTCGATTTGTACAATTGTGTGTGGGTGCCAGTGGGCAGCGTAGCAGCGTGCTGCACCACGAACGTGGTGACCTGAATTGAATTTTCCCCTCGGCCAACACCAGTGATGATTATCTGAACCGGTCCTGGGCCTCCCTTAGGTCGACTCGGCCTCAAACATTGCCACTGCGGAAATAAAGGCAGCTGGGTGTGGTGCTGGCCACCTTCCTATTTGCTCACTAATGATGGGCTTAGCCCAAGTGTGTCGGCAGCATGGGTGGGACAGCTAATGGTTTAATGTAGAAAACAACGCCAAGGCAGCGGTCTCCACCGATCAAAGAGCTGCCAGGCAATCATTGCACCTCGCTCCACATACCCACACCGCTAAGTGGTTGACAAAACATCAAGTCATGACCCAAAGTGGTTGATGACATCTTTCCAATTATGGCTGAGTTTATAACCATCCTCTTGGTTGAAAATGTCTGGCTTCATGAATGAATCTTTGTTGATAGCTAGTAGACTTTCAAAGTACCATCGTCTTAGAGAAATCAATTTCGTGTGAGCCAGTTATAATGATCAGCCACGGCAGAAGTAGTGGTCCTACCGTGTTTCAAATCTGTCTTGCGCTCACGAACACGGTTTGAGACATGTTGCTTAGTTCCCCCAATGTAACTGCTGCTGCAGATACAACTTAGTTTGTAGACGCTGGGATATTGCGTGTTAGGGATCTTGTCCACATGGGATCGAATCACGAATTTTATGTACTGTGTTAAATCGGACCTGGATCTTGTGTTCATGATTTTGGACATCTTTTTGGTTTACCTCTGCTATGTATGGCAAGGTGATGGTTTTGATTGGATGCTCAGATGGCTCCTTCCTCACGGTTGCCTTTGCAGATTTTGTAGTCAATATCTGGGATCTCGTCGATTTGTACAATCGTGTGTGGGTGCCAGTGGGCAGCGTAGCAGCATGCTGCACCACGAAGGTGGTGACCCGAATTGAATTCCCCCTGGGCCAACACCAGTGATGATTATCTGACGTGGTCCTGGGCCTCCCCTAGGTCGACTCGGCCTGAAACATTGCCACTGAGGAAACAAAGGCAGCTGGGTGTGGTGCTGGCCACCTTCCTATTTGCTCACTAACAGCACTTGCCCCAACAGTTAAGGCTGTACGGGGTTATCTTTGGTGCCCGCACAACCACGAATGCATTCAGAACTTCGTGCAACCTGTGGGGGCCCATGGAAGTGAATAACCATGGATCCCTCCCAGTGGGCTTGGGTTAAATATAGTCGAGGGCAGAACTTTTCCCCCCACAGGCCCCATATTTAAATGTTAAATTTAGCCACGTTGAGCACAGACCCGTCATTTGTGATGTCATTTGTGGCCAGGCAGACCAACTCGGCCAGACTTGAGAATTTGGTAATAAAAAATGGGCGACTGCCAGGAGTTTACCACTTGCTGCCACCTTCACGTGTGGGAGTTGAGTGCACTGTGCGCACTGTTGAAGTGGTGGCTGTGAGAGGCATGCGTTGAGCAAGTTCCTTATAACTTCGGCGCAGTTGTATATATCATAAAGCGTTTGCTCCCCCTCCACCCAAATGTCCAAAACAGCAATTTGTTTCTGCAGGAAAAAAAACACACCGTAACTTAACCTGCCCAAAATATCAGTGAAAACCAACCCTTAAAAAAAAAAGAGCAACTTTTTATTTTTTATCAAAATAAACTTTTAATAACACGAGTGTAACAATAGGACTCTGGAGCGTCCACAGAACGCGATTCTGTCTAAAACACTGGCGCGGAGTGAGGGAGGAGTGCATATATTGGAGGGACGGTATCACACGCAGGTAACACGGCCAAAAGTCCAGCTGGCACACCTTCATATTTTGGCAATCTGTGTTACTGCCGTGCAAAGCTTCACATTTCGTGGAGTGTGCTAGGGATGGGACAGATGGAAGGGGGTCAGACTGATGTCTGGGATAGCCTCTGGAGGGAGAGGTCTCCCATTTCCTTTCTCCAGCAATGTCTGGGGTTCCTCTTTGCCAGTCACATCCACCTGCATTATCCCCCCCCCCGCCACTACAAACGTCCGGAGCCTTTAGCCATGGGTGGTGGATAGTGTTGGGAACGTGTGGGGCAGGGGGCGGTAGACTTTGGTTGGGGCACAGCACCGTGGACTGAGGGCTCTGGAGATGCCACTGGCTTTAAGAGGGGCACGACCTGGAAGGATGTAGTAGTGAGGTGGGGGGGGGTGATAATGTATGAGCACGGTGGTTGCGACTGGCAAAGACGTACACGGAAATTGACGGGAGCAGCAGGACCTCGTGCAATCAAGGGACCTGTGTCTCGTGAGGTCACCGAAGAGCTTGGTCATGGCGGGAGGCACAACATGCAGCCAAGGAAAGGTAAAGATGGCGAGAGCGAGAGGGATCATGGTAGCCTCATGTCCGACGGGGGAGAAATAGTGTACAAGAACGCTGTGGCGACATGCGGTCTTGGCGTGACGATGCCGGGGGAGGGTTCGCCCAACGTGTCTGTAGTGTCATCACATCAAGGGGGGGGGGGGGGGGGGGCAAATTGTTTTCCTCGAGCACTCGCGTATATACGCGATGCATGCACACATACACGCGGCAAGTCACAAACACTGCAACACATATATATACACACGTCAATTATACATTGTACACGAAGGAAAAAAAAAGATCGCCGTCGCCTTTAAAGACGGGGGCGGGGGGGGTTAAGTCCTGTTTGCGAGCACCTCTACAGGCTGGCGTGGCTCACGAGGTTGGGCGGAGTGCGGCCGGCAACATGCCCGGCCGCCTTCTGTGGTACGTTCCGCACCAGGTGCTCGTTTAAGGATCGAGTTCACCACTGTGCCACCGCCCCCCCCCCCCCCTGCCACGCGTGCGTGCTACGTACACACCGGTACACTCGTGTCACGGGGGGCGGGGGGTGGGGAGTGGAACCTGCCCCGTTTGCCCCCCTCCTCCCACCCCCACCTGGGTGCTGCGCTATCACGCAAGCGCCGGACGGTGTGTTTGTGTACGTACGGGGGCGGCGCTAACGACGCGGCACCCCACGCCGAGAGAAATTCGCTTCGAGCGACGTGGCGCAACAGCCGAGCGCAGCGTCGCGATTTTGGCAGAGGCCGCGGTCGCCCATGACGACGACGACGACGATAGCGACAGGGCGAGGGGTGGTGATCCCCCCCCCCCCACCCCTCACGTGGAGCCGTGAGCTCCTTAGCGGTCCCGTCGCTCAGTCGGCGTGCAGATGATCCGGCTTGGCCTCGCCCTCGCACTGGTGTCAAAGACAAAGACAAAGATCCCCCGTGGAGCCTTAACAGACTGTCGGAGCAAGTGCTGCGAGCGAGCACCGATGACAGGCCGCCGCGGCACACGAGAGGGCGGGTGGCCAGCACAACGGCCCGGTCTCCCTCGTCGCGATGTTTAGTGCACACACCGCATCAGGTACTCGTTTGAGGCCGAGTCGACCCAGGGGAGGCCCAGGACCGGTTCGGATAATCGTCACGGGAGTTGTTGGCCGTGAGCGGGAATCGAAGCCGGGTCGCACCACCACCAGCACACGCACGGGAAAGGATCCGGGTCCCACGCGGTACAAGGACTCGCTCCAGACGCACGCTTCACATGTAACGCCCCTTTCGTGTGTATCCAATGCTGGATGAGGGCCTCCCACTCCTGCCCCACCGCCACGTGCCATGTGGCCCGTGGCGGTGTTTAGACCGACGGTCAGCGAGGGTTAAGGGTAGGGAGCGTGTATGGAAGTGGGAGCATAGAATTACAGTACAACGACGCATTCTGCTGTGTGCATTGCCTCGTTGACGCCTTAACCTGTTTGTGCGTGGTGGTGGTGGTGGTGGTCACCTGTCTAGGCACTATGGAGGCTCAAACCCGCTTGGCTTCCAGGAAAGGTTGAGAGATTGGCTGTGCTATGGTTACTGTTGGTCACAGTGTGTGCGACAACAGAACACAAGCTGCGGAACGATGACGTAAGCATTCCTGTGATGGGAATGATCAGACCACATACACACCAATATGCCACGCGCGCAAACATATCAACGTACCACGGGTACACCACAAACACACACCAATGTACCACGTGGGGTTGACCACGCACACATACCAACGTACCACAAATACACAACCAACATACCACAGGTACACCACACACCAATGTACTACGGGCACACCACAAACACAACAATTTACCATGCACACACACCAACGTACGACAGATACACCACGCATACATGCCAATGTCCTGCGGGTATATCACGCGCACAAATCAACGTATTACGACCACACCGCACACACCAGAGTACCATGGGCACGCCACGCACGCACACAGCAGCTTACCATGGCGAGCTGCCGCCCAATGCTCCCCACCGTGACCCCTCCCGCGAAGAAAATGCATGGCAGCCATGACCTCACAGACAGCAGGTCGTCTGCAGAGAACCTGCACGCGGAGGGGGCGGGAGACAGAGACCATCACGGTGAGTCGACCTCACGGCACCACGGACTAACTCGACCTCTCTCTCGGCATCACGGACTAACTCGACCTCTCGGCACCACGGACTAACTCGACCTCTCAGCACCACGGACTAACTCGACCTCACGGCACCACGGACTAACTCGACCTCACGGCATCACGGACTAACTCGACCTCTCTCTCGGCATCACGGACTAACTCGACCTCTCGGCACCACGGACAAACTCGACCTCACGGCACCACGGACTAACTCGACCTCACGGCATCACGGACTAACTCGACCTCTCTCTCGGCATCACGGACTAACTCGACCTCTCGGCACCACGGACCAACTCGACCTCTCGGCACCACGGACAAACTCGACCTCTCTCTAGGCACCACGGACTAACTCGACCTCTCTCTAGGCACCACGGACTAACTCGACCTCACGGCACCACGGACAAACTCGACCTCTCTCTAGGCACCACGGACTAACTCGACCTCTCGGCACCACGGACTAACTCGACCTCTCTCTAGGCACCACGGACTAACTCGACCTCTCTCTCGGCACCACGGACTAACTCGACCTCTCTCTCGGCACCACGGACCAACTCGACCTCTCGGCATCACGGACTAACTCGACCTCTCGGCACCACGGACTAACTCGACCTCTCGGCACCACGGACCAACTCGACCTCTCGGCACCACGGACTAACTCGACCTCTCGGCACCACGGACTAACTCGACCTCTCTCTAGGCACCACGGACTAACTCGACCTCACGGCACCACGGACTAACTCGACCTCTCTCTAACACCATGGACTAACTCGACCTCTCTCTAACACCACGGACTAACTCGACCTCTCGGCACCACGGACTAACTCGACCTCTCGGCACCACGGAGTGACTCGACCTCTCGGCACCACGGACTAACTCGACCTCTCTCTAACACCACGGACTAACTCGACCTCTCTCTCGGCACCACGGACTAACTCGACCTCTCTCTCGGCACCACGGACTAACTCGACCTCTCGGCACCACGGACTAACTCGACCTCTCTCTAACACCATGGACTAACTCGACCTCTCTCTAGGCACCACGGACTAACTCGACCTCACGGCACCACGGACTAACTCGACCTCTCGACACCACGGACTAACTCGACCTCTCGACACCACGGACTAACTCGACCTCTCGGCACCACGGACTAACTCGACCTCCCGACACCACGGACTAACTCGACCTCTCGGCACCACGGACTAACTCGACCTCCCGACACCACGGACTAACTCGACCTCTCGGCACCACGGACTAACTCGACCTCTCAACACCACGGAGTGACTCGACCTCTCTCTCGGCACCACGGACTAACTCGACCTCTCTCTCGGCACCACGGACTAACTCGACCTCACGGCATCACGGACTAACTCGACCTCTCAGCACCACGGACTAACTCGACCTCACGGCACCACGGACTAACTCGACCTCTCGGCACCACGGACTAACTCGACCTCTCTCTCGGCACCACGGACCGACTCGACCTCTCGGCACCTCACCGACTCAACGCTGCCGATGAACAAGCTGTGCGTGCTGTCGCGGGTGCGCTCTGCTGTGGGTGTGCGTCCACGGCCTGCTGCGAGCGCCGCTTTCAGAGCCGCCGCAGAGTGCGTGCAATGCCTGTGCACCGTCGCGCCATCGCCGTCACCGCGCCCTGCGCGACGCTTCGATTGCGCGCGAGCCGCCGCGTCCGCCGCATCCGCCGCCGCGCGCCGTCGCGGTCTCGGCGTGCGCCGATGGCGCCGTCTCTTACTGCGCGAGGCCGCAGCGCAGCAGCAGCTGCGTGAGGAGGGTGGCGGCGCAGGCGCAGACGAGGCCCAGACCGAGGCCTCCCCGCGAGCGGTCGAATGTCCACCACAACCCCAGGGAGAGCGCGGCCAGCGTCAGGGACAGCTGCGTCGGGTTGGCAAATTCCAGCTTCTGCGACGAGGGTCAAGGGGGGACAAACGGGGCCCTCTCCAGAGAACGAACCGACCCGCAAAACTAACCCGGCGTGAGGAGGCCGGCTGACCGGTTGGCTCGGAGGTCCGAGCGCCGAGATGGCACCATGTTAGTTCGCGGGTTCAAATTCGGGTTTCAGGCCATCCGACCGCAGTGATTGAAGTGTGTTCTTGACGTGTCACGAGTTCATGGTCTCAGCTGGGTCACCAATGACTATAGAGCCAATTTCCAGCTCGAAGAATTACGTATTTCGATTTAAAGCTTTCGTGACTGCAAGGATTCATCTTCTTTGGTTCTTTCGGTAAAGTCACATAGAATGAGAATAAAATAATAAAATAAAATAAAATTCTCACGACGTTTCGGCCACAACACAAGTGGCCTTCTTCAGGTGAAAGGAACAAACCTGTCGGGACGACATTGTGGCTCTGTCGTCCCGACAGGTTTGTTCCTTTCACCTGAAGAAGGCCACTTGTGTTGTGGCCAAAACGTCGTGAGAATTTTATTATTTTATTATTTTATTCTCATTCTACGTGACTTTACCGAAAGAACCAAAGAACAATTGCGTATTTGTTTGCCAATGCGACAAACAACGCTCTCGCGCGCGGAACGGATGGGAAAATGTTGCCCGTGACTGTGTGGACCATAGGTCAACGGGAGAGATCTCTCAGGTGCCCTCTGTGATATTCGCGTCAGCGGACCCTTCTCGAGCATGGAGGAGATGCACTGCTCTGCGAGAGAGCTGAACGGATGCTTCGATCAGGGGACGCGACGTCGATGCCACAATGGGGGAGACCGACGGCAAGGCTCCCTTGAGACGAGCGACTACACACCGCAGTAGGAATCAAGCGAGGAGGATACGGCACTGGCGTGGTTGATGCCCACAAACACGGCCACGCAGCGCAGCACGCTCGCCCACTCGCGCTCCAGCTTGTGAGGTTCTCCCAGGCAGCTGTCCAAGCATGGGTACAGCAGCCCGATCACCGCTGCGGGGAGCACACGGCACGCGCCTAGGTCAAGAACGCGGCACGCACACACACGCACACACACGCACACGCACACGCACACACGCACACACGCACACACGCACACACGCACACACACGCACACACGCACACACGCGCACACACGCACACACGCACACACGCGCACACACGCACACACGAGCACACACGCACGCACACGCACACACGCGCACACACGCGCACACACGCGCACACGCGCACACACGCACACACACACGCGCACACACGCGCACACGCACACACGCACACACGCGCACACGCACACACGCGCACACACGCACACACGAGCACACACGCACACACGCACGCACACGCACACACGCGCACACACGCGCACACGCGCACACACGCACACACACACGCGCACACACGCGCACACGCACACACGCACACACGCGCACACGCACACACGCGCACACACGCGCACACACGCACACGCGCGCACACGCGCACATGCACACGCGAGCACAGACACGCCGAGCACAGGCGTTACACGCGCAAGTCACCGCGTGGGCCGCACCGCCGGGCGCTCGCGTGGGGTACGTACCGGCGGCCGTGCCGCACACGGGCGGCACCCACCAGCCGGCCGAGAGGAGGCCAGGGCGCGACGCCGGGGGCTGCAGGAGCAGCTCCATGAGCAGCGCGAGCGTCGCTCCCACCACGAACAGCACTACCGCCCGGCGGACAGCTCCCCGTACAGCCGGTCCCATCAGCATCATCGCTTGGCTTTCTGCAACATCACCACCATTGGTCGACCACCATCATCGTCGTCGTCGTCGTCGTCATCAACAACCATCACCACCACGACTACCGTGACAAGCACCATCTAAAGCTGGTCCATCATTGCTCAGCTGCTACCATCATCTCCACAACCACAATCGCCATGCAAACCGCCGCCCCCCATCGTCGTCGCTCAGCTGTTTGGAACATCACTACCATCACCATCATCACCATCACAATCATCAACATCACCAAGGCCACCACTGCACAGCTATCTGCAAGACCACCACCAACACGAACCCATCAAGACAAATACACACCTATATATAAACTCCATATGAACACACAAATACACGCAAGACAAAGATAACCCCGTATAGTCGCACGCACTGCTGGGGCAGATGCTGTTGGCGAGCACTTATTCAGGCCAACAGGGCTCTCGAGGGGGCGGTGTATTTAAGGCGGAGCCGACCTAGTGGAGGCCCCAGATGTTAGCCGTGAGCAGGAAAAGAAGGTGCGTTGCTAGATTCATAGCAGAGCGCACGCTAACCACGACGCTACCGCTCCCCACACACGTCACTTACTGCACCGTACAAAGCACTCGCTCACCGCCGTGTAAAGTTCACCAGCTAGTCGTGCCACGTTACAGACTTGACAAATGTGAAAACACGGAACCCGGCCTATATAGCACGACAGGTTGACGGTGCTTAACAAAGAGACAAAAAATAACCCGTGTAGCCTGTCACACACTGTTGGGGCGATGTTTAAACGCCGCACCAGGTACTTATTTGAGGCCGAGTCAACCTAGGGGAGGCCCAGGGCCGGTTCAGACAACCGCCACTGATGATGGCCGTGAGCGGGAATCGAACTCGGGTTGCCCGCGCTAACCCATACACAACAACAACAAAAACAACAACAACAACAACAACCGCCATTCGCCACTAAGTGGCGGGGACGTCACCACGGCGCTTGTGCCAGGCTAGGTGCACTTTGAGGCCACAACAACACGCAAAAAGACAAAGGTCCCCCGTATAGCCTTAACAGACTGTAGGGGCAAGTGCTGTTAGCGAGCACCTATGAAGGCCGGAGCGGTACACGAGGGGGTGGGTGGCCAGCACCACGCTCGTCCGCCTTTGTCTCCCTCGTGGCGAAGTTTACTACACACCGCACCAGTTAATTATTTGAGGCTCAGTCGCAGCGCGCTAACCGCTACCACACGCCAGCACACACACGTGTACACACACCAGCACGCACACACACATGTGTACACACACCAGCACACCCGTGTACACACACACCAGCATACACGTGCACACACACACCAGCGCACACACAACCGTGTACACACACACCAGCGCACACACATCACCACACGTGTACACACCAGCACACACACATCACCACACGTGTACACACACACACACATCACCACACGTGTACACACACACACACATCACCACACGTGTACACACCAGCACACACATCACCACACGTGTACACACCAGCACACACACATCACCACACGTGTACACACCAGCACACACACATCACCATACGTGTACACACGAGCACACACATCACCACACACACACATCACCACACGTGTACACACACACACACATCACCACACGTGTACACACCAGCACACACACACATCACCACACGTGTACACACACACACATCACCACACGTGTACACACACACACACCACCACACGTGTACACACACATCACCACACGTGTACACACACACATCACCACACGTGTACACACACACCAGCGCACACACATCACCACACTTGTACACACCAGCACACACACATCACCACACGTGTACACACACACACACACATCACCACACGTGTACACACACACACATCACCACACGTGTACACACACACACATCACCACACGCGTACACACCAGCACACACACACACATCACCACACGTGTACACACCAGCACACACACACACATCACCACACGTGTACACACCAGCACACACACACATCACCACACGTGTACACACACACACATCACCACACGTGTACACACACACACATCACCACACGCGTACACACACACACACCACCACACGCGTACACACCAGCACACACACATCACCACACGCGTACACACCAGCACACACACATCACCACACGCGTACACACCAGCATACACACATCACCACACGCGTACACACCAGCACACACACACATCACCACACGTGTACACACCAGCGCACACATCACCACACACACACACATCACCACACGTGTACACACACACACATCACCACACGTGTACACACACACACACATCACCACACGTGTACACACCAGCACACACACACACGTGTACACACCAGCACACACATCACCACACGTGTACACACCAGCACACACACACATCACCACACGTGTACACACATCACCACACGTGTACACACCAGCACACACACATCACCACACGTGTACACACCAGCACACACACACATCACCACACGTGTACACACACACATCACCACACGTGTACACACCAGCACACACACACGTGTACACACCAGCACACACACACACATCATCACACGTGTACACACACACACATCACCACACGTGCACACACACACACACATCACCACACGTGTACACACCAGCACACACACACGTGTACACACCAGCACACACACATCACCACACGTGTACACACCAGCACACACACGTGTACACACCAGCACACACACACACACATCACCACACGTGTACAGACCAGCACACACACACATCATCACACGTGTACACACCAGCACACACACCACCACACGTGTACACACCAGCACACATCATCACACGTGTACACACACACACACATCATCACACGTGTACACACACACACACATCACCACACGTGTACACACCAGCACACACACACACGTGTACACACCAGCACACACACACACATCACCACACGTGTACACACCAGCACACACACACACCACCACACGTGTACACACATCACCACACGTGTACACACCAGCACACGCACACCACCACACGTGTACACACATCACCACACGTGTACACACCAGCACACACACACACGTGTACACACCAGCACACACACACATCACCACACGTGTACACACCAGCACACACACACACCACCACACGTGTACACACATCACCACACGTGTACACACCAGCACACGCACACCACCACACGTGTACACACATCACCACACGTGTACACACCAGCACACACACACACACATCACCACACGTTCACTCACCTCGTCGACTTGCCGTTGTTGTGGCCGAGATTCTTTGCGGCGGCGGGGGGGGTCACGTGCCGCGTTGCCTTTTACCGCGCGCGCGCAACTTCCGGGAGGCGAGCGCGCGCTATCTGGTGAGGCGGCGTGGGCCAATGGGAGCCCGCCGAGCTGAGGGCCTGACCGTGACGTCGCATGAGCCCAGCCGATCAGCTGATCACCCCTGGCGGCCGCCTCGTGGTGACCCCGGCTCGCGGGGTGAGGGCGGGGCGGGGAGAGGGGGGGCGGAGTAATGGGCGGGGCGGGCGGAGTAATGGGCGGGGCGAACGGTGGGGGGGGCGGGCCGAGTAAATCCCAGCCACCCAGGATCAGAATCAATGTTGATTTGAAGTTTTCGTGACTGTCAGGAGTCCATACTCTTTGATTCTTTCGGTAAAATGTTATTGATACTGCAGCAGAAATCCGATGAGACATAAAGCTCTTTTGTCACAGATATCCATCATACGGGTACGGGCGAAGAACGTTCCAACAACAAACACAGTTACAAAAATACGATCGGAGTGCAAAGTACAAGATAGTTAAACAAATCACCCAAACACACAAATACAACACTAAACCATGCCCCACCCGACCTGGCCACAACTGATAGCTCGACAAAATGGCTTATCGATTGGACATTACCGCCGCCTATAGCAATACCAATACCCGCCATTCGCCACTCAGTGGCGGTGACGTCACCCACAGAGCCTGTGCCGGGCTAGGTGCACTTTGAGGCCACGTTCGGTGTCGAAGGCTCGCTGCTGGCAAGAGGTCACGGGACAGACCCAGACACCATGGGTTGAATGCTGTGCCAGGCTTGGTGCAGGAGGAGGAGGTCACGGGACAGACCCAGATACCATGGGGTGACTGCTGTGCCAGGCTTGGTGCAGGTGGAGGTCCCGAGACAGACCCAGGTGGTGCCATGGGTTAACTGCTGTGCCAGGCTTGGTGCAGGAGGAGGAGGTCACGGGACAGACCCAGATACCATGGGGTGACTGCTGTGCCAGGCTTGGTGCAGGTGGAGGTCCCGAGACAGACCCAGGTGGTGCCATGGGTTAACTGCTGTGCCAGGCTAGGTGTAGGAGGAGGTTACGGAACAAACCCAGACACCATGAGTTGACTGCTGTGCCAGGCTCGGTGCAGGAGGAGGAGGTCGCGGGACAGACCCAGACACCATGGGTTGACTGCTGTGCCAGGCTTGGTGCAGGAGGAGGAGGTCACGGGACAGACCCAGACACCATGAGTTGACTGCTGTGCCAGGCTTGGTGCAGGAGGAGGAGGTCACGGGACAGACCCAGGTGCCATGGGTTGACTGCTGTGCCAGGCTCGGTGCAGGTCACGGGACAGATCCAGCAGATGCCCATGGGCTGACTGAGACGACTGGCAGATGCACCAGCTGTAACCCCCTTACTCTGCCAACTTACTGCGTTTTAGTCGCCCGACGCTCCGCTTGTTGTTGTGAGCGTCGTCCCTTTGCCCTCCGTTGTCGTTAGTTGTGACGACTGCTTCCAACTTGCCCAATCGCAGCGTCCTTCACGAGCCTCCCCGACAGAGGCGATATCCCGACACACACACACGCCATAGCCGTTTGACTGTCTATCCTTGCCTATGATGGCAAAAAATATGTTCAGGAGCTGAATAGCCAATGTCGAGAGGTCTGTCTGCTAAGCCACCACGAGCAGGCTTCAGTGCAGAGAGAGTTCGTGTCGTTTTGCTGCGCTGTTCCTCCTCCACTGAAGGGATCACAAACTCCCCATGCATGGGTTTACCACATTGCCACAATTGTGCTATCGCATTGCGGCTCGTATCGTTCAATGGATCTCATTCTATCAATCAGTCAAACTTTATTTCTACAGCACTATTCGTGCAGAAAAATGCAATACCATAGTGCTTTAAAGGCATGAGCAATAAAAGTGAAATTGTAGGCAAAATAAAATCACGTAACAAATTTCCCGCAAGGACATAATGAAAATAACACATTAAGAAAATCCTAATTAAAAGAGAGTTTCACAAAGTAAGTTCTTAGATGTATTTTTAAAGTACTTAATGATTCTGAAGCCCTCAGATCCCCTGGCAAGCTGCTTCACAGGCGAGGACCCTATACACTAAAAGCTGCTTCTCCGTCGGTTTTGGTCCTGGCCTTTGGGACAACTAAAAGGCCAATACCGGAGGATCTGACGGGTCTGTGTGTATCCGCTGTGTATACTTCTCAACCCCTTACCAGTGCCCTACCTTATTACAGACCAATTCAGACCGTATTGGTCACCCCGTGCCCCTTACAAATCTCATCGTTCATCCTACGAAGTCCCACCCCAAGGGAGAAACACGAACAAATAGAAAAAATGGTTTGCCTTTTTGAAACAGCTGTACGTCGTATGGACCTGAAAACTCAATTTCCCTGTAAAATAATAACGGGTAAATCGTTTGGGTTGACAGCTGTGTGGTCTCTCTGTGGGGTTTAACTACGCGGTCCACGGTTTGGATGTGCGTGGCCACGATTGGGCTGCTGTAATGCGTCTTGTATCGCTCAATGCATCTCATTCTATCTCCGTGGTGCCTGCATTGTGTCCGCTGCGCGTCTATTCTGTGGGTTTTTGACTTACGCGGTCCACGGTTTGGATTTGCGTGGCCCACAATCGCAAGCAACCCGCGTGGCTTCGTGGCTTTCATTTTCCATTCATGGAGGGGGGTGTACGCACCGCGGCCTGTTGATGAGGGTTCCGATGCAGGTTGGGCGACGGTTTACACCGGCGCCTCTTTGAGGAGAAATGGCGTTCGAGGTGGAGGGAGGGAGAGGGAGATGCGATGACATTTGGCGTCTCGAACGAAGCGCGCTTCGTCCACGGGGGGGCGTTGTGGCGTCGGAGGTTAGAAATTATTTTTCTAATTAAAAAAAACCTTTCTATAAATTGTTTTGTTACGTTTCAAACGTTTAAAATATCACGATTCTTTCAACGTTAATTGCCCAATGGAGGTAACATTTTAAGTTGTTCGTATTAGAGACCGCTGCCTCGGGGAGGTCCTTGGGACGCGTGTGAAGGCGTCCGCGTGACAGATTTCCCATCATTCATTGCGATGAGCAGCTTCTAGCATTGCAGCCACGCCGTTTGAGACCCATTCAGGGCAGTGAAGAAGGCGCCCGTGGCTGTGATGAGAGACGATGTCTCGACGCGAGGCTGCACCGTGCAAATGTAGCAGGTCATCGCTTTTTGGCAGTGTCAGTGGGGTCGTGTAGTGTGGACTTGAGGATCATGGGGACAGCAGTTGTTTTGTTTCGTATTGAAGGGACCAGACTGTCTAGAGGACAGCGCTGGAGTGAACACAGCCAAGCTCAGACTGCGACCTTTAAGCTGTGTGAGAGGAAGCAGAGCGCCTTGACAAAGGAATTAGCATTAAAAATATCATTTAATTGGCGAACTTAGCATAAAATTTAGCATTTAATTTTTATGCTAATTCCTTTGTCAAAGCGCTCTGCTTCCTCTCATACAGCTTAAAGGTCGCGGTCTGAGCTTGGCTGTGTTCACTCCAGCGCTGTCCTCTAGACAGTCTGGTCCCTTCACCTGATGAAGGCCACTTGTGTTGTGGACGAAACGTCGTGAATTTTTTGTTTTTTTTGTTTTACGTGACTTTACCGAATAGAACCAAAGAGTTTGGATCCTTGCAGTCACGAAAGCTTTAAATCTAGTATTCAATCTAGAATTGTTTCGTATTGTTTATAAATGCCTACCATTGGTAGAGAAGACATTTATATCACTCTCGCGGGAAGGCCAATCACATGACGAGGTTTTTGTTAATTCGAAAACCATCTTTTCGCAGGGCACTCACAACAGCCCCACCGAAGTGGAAATGCCACGAGCCGCCCAACTGGTCTCTAAGGGGCCGTCCATAAATGACGTCACGCGATTTTTGACGCTTTTTGACCCCCCCCCCCCCCCATCGTCACACGGCGTCACAAAAAATTAGACCCCCCTCAAATATGACGTCACAAAGCCCTGCCCCCCCCCAAAAAAAACATTCTTCAAATCGCGTTAAAACTATTGTCATTGTAGTGCGTATTTAATGTGCCGCTACACTCTGATGTTGTAGGAGAGAACATTTATTGAAAAGTCTATTTAATTAAGTAGAACGTGTTGTCTATATTTATTTTAAGTTGCATTTTTATGTGACGTCACAAATGTCTAACCCCTCTCCCCCCAGGTGCGTGACGTCATTTATGGACGGCCCCTAACGAGTCGGTTTAAATTTTATTTCACGTATTCTTGGCGCCTGTGTCGCTCCCCTCCTATAGTCGCACAGCGGTGTCCGTCCCGATCTGGGGGCTTGAGGTGATTCGACGAGGAGGAGGAAGCCGACGAGCATCGTGATGCCAGAACGGGAGATCGGGACTTGAGTGGGCGGGCGGGCGGGGTACATTCCTAGAGCTGTGCTGTAGCACGACGCGTAGTTTACCTACCCCGGAGATCATCGCCGTCTCTGAAGACTCTTTCACGAGGGTCATACAAAGCTTTAGGGTGCCGCGGTGGCTATGAGATGTTAACTACCTCGCCCGGTATGCAGGAGGTCGTGGGGTTGATCCCGACGCTGACATCCGTATATTTTGAGTCTCCGTGTCTCTCTCTCTCTCATCATCACAGTGGCTAGGATATGTTAACTACCTCGCCTGGTATACAGGAGGTCGTGGGTTTGATCCTGACCCTGACGCCTGCTGCTGCTGTATATTTGGAGTTTGCGTGCCTCTCTCATCATCACGGTGGCTAGGAGATGTTAACTACCTCGCCTGGTATGCAGGAGGTCGTGGGTTCGATCCTGACCCTGACGCCTGCTGTTTATTTGGAGTCCGCGTCTCTCTCTCTCATCATCACGGTGGCTAAGAGATGTTAACTACCTCGTCTGGTATGCAGGAGGTCATGGGTTCAATCCTGACCCTGACACCTGCGGCTGTAGATTTGAAGTCTGCGTCTCTCTCTCTATCATCATCATGGTGGCTAGATGTTAACTACCTCGCCTGGTGTGCAGGAGGTCGTGGGTTCGATCCTGACCCTGACGCCTGCTGCTGTATATTTGGAGTCTGCGTCTCTCTCTCTCTCTCTTTCATCATCACGGTGGCTAGGAGATGTTAACTACCTCGCCTGCTATGCAGGAGGTCGTGGGTTCGATCCTGACCCTGACGCCTGCTGCTGTATATTTGGAGTCTGTCTCTCTCTCTCATCACGATGGCTATGAGATGTTAACTACCTCGCCTGGTATGCAGGAGGTCGTGGGTTCGATCCTGACCCTGACGCCTGCTGCTGTAGATTTGGAGTCTGTGTGTCTCTTCCGGTGGCCGCGTGGATCTTTCCCCGGGGCCCTCACGGGTTTTTTCCCCTCCACATTTAGAATCAACATCACCACGCGGGTGAAGTATTTGGCTATGGTAAACTTCCACACGATCATGAAAAGCCCAAGTCATCATTTGTGATGGCCAGGTCGCTTCTGAAAACGAGCTATACAGCTCAGTGGTGAGCCTTACGTGGTAAAATAAAACTAAAAACAGTGTCAGTGTTGAAGGCGGTGTGTCAGTGTTGAAGGCGGTGTGTCAGTGTTGAGGGCGGTGTGTCAGTGTTGAAGGTCGTGTGTCAGTGTTGAGGGCCGTGTGTCAGTGTTGAAGGCAGTGTGTCAGTGTTGAGGGTCGTGTGTCAGCGCTGAGGCCATGGGGGTGAGGTTTACCGAAGGTCACCGTTTAAAAAAAAATCTCAAAAACAAAGACGTGCTTCTGGATTCCTTCTTGGTTAACTCCGCACACGCACGCCGAGTGGCAGGGCAGGCAGCTGCTGCCACCGCTCCTATTTTCACTGCTCAGCAACAACTGTGTACGTCTGTATGCACAGTTTCTGTATAACCACGTGCTGGCACGGTACACACTCTACCGGTTTGTCTCTTCGAGTTTCCACAGCCCTCTTTAGCAATCCAGTGCTGGACAAAGGGCCTCCCCGCACGACTGTGGGCTACGGGGGTTCTTTTGACCATACTTCACCGCTCCCGATCGGTGTCGGTCGGTGACGAGCGGGTGCCAGTTTACACAATTTGGCACGGACGTGAGCAGGCACAGCCTCAAAATGAAACCCAGGTCAGTTGGCACGGTTGCGCTAACCACTGCGCCACCCATCCACCGCCCCCACTCCGCAAGACCTGAGAACGCGGATGTCCAAACTGGTCGGGTCACTTGCCCCGTGAGAAAAAAAATCCTGCGGTGTCACAGGAGAAATATAACAAAAAAAATCCACGCCAGGTCTTTCGTTTTTTTTTTAAGGATCTGGTTTACTTCATAGTTCATGGCCAAAACGTTGATCAACTCGGACTATCGTCTACGAACGTCACTGGGGACATGCATTTGGCAAATAATTGGTTACAAGGGTTTAAGCGGCGCTCATTGCATTCACGATATATGGTACAGTGCAACGCGTGTATTCAAATATATATACTTTACTCGAGGGTGCCTAACGGGTTCGGATTGTCAGTCTTAAATAACAAAATACACGGTCTACTTCATGGAGTATATCATAAAACTATTGGAATTTTAAAAAGAAAAAAGGCTCTAACCGATCCACATCCCACAGGTTACTGCATTGGAGATAAGACGTACACCTACAAATCATTTTGCGCGAGTTTGCGAGAGATGCCGTTGCTTCTACGCTTCGGCCAAAGTGATCGCCGGTCGCCCTGCATCACTGGGAAGCCAAGCGAGCCTGGAAGCCCCCAGCGTCGGCGCTGGGCCAGTGAAGGGGAAGCCTCCTCCAGGGTGAGCACGACTGGCTCGCAACAGCTCTCTCCCACGGCTCTATTACCACGGCTCTCTCCCAATGCTCTCTCCCACGGCTCTCTCCCAACGGCATCCTCTCCCACGCCTCGCTCTTAACGCCTCTCTCCCACGGCTCTCTCCCAACGCTCTCTCCCACGGCTCTCTCCCACGACTCTCCCAACGGCTCTCTCCCAACGCTCTCTCCCAACGCTCTCTCCCACGGCTCTCTCCCAACGCTCTCTCCCACGGCTCTCTCCCACGACTCTCCCAACGGCTCTCTCCCAACGCTCTCTCCCAACGCTCTCTCCCACGGCTCTCTCCCAACGCTCTCTCCCACGGCTCTCTCCCACGGCTCTCTCCCAACGCTCTCTCCCAACGGCTCTTTCTCAACGGCTCTCTCCCAACGCTCTCTCCCACGGCTCTCTCCCAACGCTCTCTCCCACGGCTCTCTCCCAACGGCTCTCTCCCACGGCTCTCTCCCAACGCTCTCTCCCAACGCTCTCTCCCACGGCTCTCTCCCAACGCTCTCTCCCAACGGCTCTTTCCCAACGACTCTCTTCCATGGCTCTCCCACGGCTCTCTCCTAAGGGGTCTGTTTTAATCCACTTGTAAAAAGGGGTAAAGGTGCAGCTGCACTTGCTCGCTCGTGCCACCGCTGGCAGGAGGGCCTCATAGCCCCCCCCCCCCCCCCCGCTAGAGGGGGTTCTAGACAGCCCCTCTGGAGCCGACTTCCACGCTGGCCAGGGCGTCTTGGAAGAGGAAGGAAAGTACCCGCAAGTTTTACCCAAACCCCACGCGCCGCCTGCCGATCAACGGATTGCGGCAAACTCGTTTCCGCTGCTGTATTGGGCCCGGAGGCTGCGGGAGATCGACTCGAACCGTGCGACCCGGATCGCAAGTCCGGCGCTGCTGATCCATGGCAGCTTCCACTTTTAATTCTGAAAATTGGCCGCAAACCGTGTCTTCCAGGTCCGCGCGAACGAGGCCGCACACCTGTGACGGTGAGCCGCGAGGGGCGGGTCGAAGGGTCATGGGCGTGACCTGCGGCCGATCGCATAACATTCCGCAAGCGTCCTTTAGTCGGCACCCCCGATTCACACGGCAAAACTACGGCAAAAGTACCACTCGAGGTATTTTATGCAACCGGCGACCACTCAGAAGCCGAGTTGTCCATCCGCCGTGCCGCCCCCGAAGCTCGCCTCCCCACAGACGCGATGGGCACACACCCACACGACTTCATTACGTTGGTTATTGCGGCGGAATAATATAGTCTATATAGGTATAACCTTTGCCACGTAAATATAGTACACACATCTCGATCGGTACGCTATTATACAGGACAGATGAACGACTGTCGGAGCTTCTTTAGTTCTACACAAGCAGGCAACTCGGGTGGTGCCACAGCTAGCGTCGCCTGCCAGGGGCCAGCCACGCATGTCCCGACACGTGCGCTCGCCCTGGGCAAGCGCGGCGCCTTAGACGGGAGCTGCGACTCCCACGGTAAAAAGGCCTTGGTATGCGCAGTGGCACAGTGCACGGTGGGCATGGCTTCTCATCGCCGACCTCAAATTGCCACTCAACCAAAAGCACCCCAAGCGCTCCATTCGCATTTACTGTCCAAGGGACGCGTGGGTGGTGCTCTGACGCAGGGGGCAGCCGCGTCCGCCACATTCGTGAAACGGCCAAGCGGAGAGAGAGGCTGTGGCACGAGATTGTCAACCGTCGTCATCCCGTCGTGCCAACATGGAACGGGGCTTGTCGCACGGCAGATGCCCCCCCTCCCACCGCCACCCCCCACGGCATCGATAAAGAACTTCTCGGCTCAATGGTCTCATCTAAAAAAAAAACGACCACAGGGTAGGTCTTGGAAGCTGGCAGGGCAAGAGAAAGTGTCCATCGTGGCCAGGGAAGGTTGCTTTATTGAGGCGGGGGCGGTGGGGGCACAACGGTGCGTGGCACACCCTCTAGCCTCTCTCAAAAAAGTCGAATTTCCATGCCCATAGCCAGGAGTGATTGCAGAGGCCTATGGACAAGCGGTGACTGGTGGCATCTGGGATGGGACGCATGAACTAGGTGTCGCACCAGCAAAAAATAAAATAAGATCCGTGCACGGATCCGCCGGGTGGGAGAGTGGACGAACTCTGTGCAGGGGGGGGGGGGGGGGGGGGGGCACACGAGTGATTGAAGTCCCCTCGGCCAGGTCTCCAACCCTGCTGTGAAGTGCGGCTCACGTTAGGTCTAAAGAGATATAAACTCAGCTGCTGTAGCTAAAAATAGCATTTAAATAAAAATAGCATTTAAATAAAAATAGCATTTAAATAAAAATAGCATTTAAATAAGGGCACAGTGTTTCAGTGTGGGTTGTCTCACTTACGCTGGCTGAGTGATGGCTGTGTGCGTTAGTCGTGAGTGCATGTGTGTGTGTGCGTGTAGCGGTGAGGTCAGGTGAATGTGCATGAGTTGTTGTCTCTACTACATTTTTATTTGTTACATTATATTTTGTTTATTTGGGTATTTTCTCGCTGGGCAATAGTGTGTGTGTGTATGTTGCGATCACAGCACTCGCCCCAACAGTCTGTTAAGGCTATATGGGGGGGGGGGAATCTTTCTCTTTGTAGTGGGGTGTGTGTTATTGTCGTCTCTGCTGGTCGAGGGCAATGAGTTTGAGAGATGCGTGCGTTCGTCTCCCTGCGTCTCCCGCGCACGTGTCCCGTGGAGACCCGAGGTCCCTGCTCGTCACACCACGGTGGCCGGTCGCTGGCCCATCTGGGTTTCCAGTCGGTACATCTGCCGCATCTCCTGCGCCTGTAGCAGCAGCAGCAGCAGGGCTTGTGTCAGATACAAGTTAGACAACTTCGCTTTATATACACAAACACCGGATTTCTAAACATACACAGCTTTAAGCACACACACGTTTATACACGCACACAGGTTTAAACGAAACACACACATGGATTTACACGCATATTTACGAATGTACACTGATTTAAAGAGAACCACAAAACTACTCAGTTACCTATCTACCCAGCCACCAAACTACCCAGTTAACCATGCACCGCGCTACTCAGATACCCATCTACCCAGCCACCCAACTACCCAGTTAACCGTGTACCTCGCTACTCAGTTACCCATCTACCCAGCCACCCAACTACCCAGTTAACCGTGCACCTCGCTACTCTGTTACCCATCTACCCAGCCACCCAACTACCCAGTTAACCGTGCACCCAACTGACAGATTAACTGAGTAGTTGTAGCCGGGTTCGTAGTGCAGCTCGCTAACCGTTGGACCACCGCTCCCCATACATAAACTTACACACATTGACACACACGCACACTTCACACATGCACGCAGTTCATCAAGGCCGCCGCTTCTTCGAGTCGCGCCTGTGGGCGTGAGCCATCGCGCTGAAGAGCCAAGTGACCCCACGCATGAAGCACAGCCCAGGACGCGTGCCGTCCACATCACGACGACCCCCCACCTGCTCCTTGTCCCTGTCCAGGGCCTCCATCTGCTCCAGCTGGCTCTTCCTCAACTGCTCCACCTCCTTGCTCTGTCTCATCGCCAGCTAAAAACAAGGAGCGTTGTGCGCACACACGGACACTCGCATTTAGACACATGCACGCTATGGATCGCCCCCAGTGTTAACCTTCATAGCCTATGGTGGAAAGGGCTGTTTGCGAGCACCTATGAAGGCTGCCAAAAGGAATAGTGTAGCCAACACCAAACGTACATATAACCGCCATTCCCCAATAAGTGGTGGTGACGTCATCACGGCGCTTGTGCCAAGCTAGGTGCGCCTTGAGGCCACGTCAACTGCCAAAGGCTCGCTGGCAGGAGGTCACGTGACAGAACCAGGTGTCATGGATTGACTGAGATGACTTGCAGATGCACCACATGTGTTTCCTACTATGCCTACTTTGTGCATTTTAGCCTCCCGGCACTCCACTCATTGTCGTGAGCACTGCCTCCGAATGCTCATGAGCATCCTTCACAAGTCCCCTCCACAGAGGCCGCTCTTGACACCGCTGGTATAGATCATCGTAAAGTTCAATCAGCTCCACATCCTCCATCTCTTCCCTAGCCCATGCTGCGTCCATTTAACCCCCTCTATTCTGCCAAACAGAAGCTGCTCGGATGTGCAGTGGCTGGGCATGCGAGCTACAAAGCAGCCTCCCCTGTTTGAGGAGCTCACCGATGGGACTGTGTCCAGATCTATCAAGGATCTGTGAGCTCCTCACACAATCCCACCTGGTTGAACCCAGGATGGATATTAGGCAGGCCAATTTGACGCAGATGTTTCTTTAGCCGGATGGTGGTGGCAAGGCAGCAAGTGGGCTTATCGCCATCTGTTTCCATCTGTACGGGGGTTAGAGTGTCGCCCCCTCATGCATGCTGATTTTCTCTGGTTGCTCCGGTTTCCTCCCGCTTGTAGGAAAGCCCGTATATTTTGCTAAGAACATCTTTAAACTAAAAAAGAGAAATCCAATTACGGGCCCTCGTGAAAAAATAAGAATAGGTTTCACCCTTTCTGGCAATGAAACAGCGGGTATTAAGATGTTCAAACAACAAATAGAAAACTTTTGCATGGAATCAAGTCTGCGTTAACCACACGTACTTGCGGTGAACATGCAAACAAACATGCTCAGAAATGGGACCTTTTTGCCAGCATCAAAGTTTAAAAAATGTAGAATAGGTTTTACCCTCTCTGGCAATAAGACAGCAGGTGTTATGATGTTCAAACACCAAATAGAAACGCTTTTGCAAGGAATCGAGTCTGCATTAACCACACGTATATCATTAGACCTCCTTTGCCAGTACCAAAATATAATAATAGGGTTTTTCCCCTATTTTTCCTGGCAACAAAACTGAAACCTTTTTACAAGGATTCATGTCTGCATTAACCACAATACCTGCAGTCAAAATGCAAACCAAAAACATACTATGATAATATATGCATTGTCCTTGAAACTGATTGGTCCACACCACGCCTGTTGGCGTCATCTGGTCGAGGCTCAAAAGAAAGCCGTCCCTTGGTGTGGACCAATCAGCTTCAAGGACAATGCATATATTATCATCGTATGTTTTTTTCTTTGCATTCTGACTGCAAGTATTGTGGTTAATGCAGACATGAATCCTTGTAAAAAGGTTTCAGTTTTGTTGCCAGGAAGAAAAAAAGGGGGAAAACCCCTATTATTATAACCACAAGTACTTGCGGTGCACATGCACACAAACATGCTCTGACAATGTATGCATTGTCTTTGAACCTGAAATTGGCCTACACCAGAGACAGATGCAGCCTTCTTTAGGGCCTTGTCTCACCAGTGTCCCATTTTGAACTCGGTGTGGATTTCCTGAATCAATAAGCAAAATAATAATGAATTAAAAGTCATCCACGTTTCAGGGGTGTAAAGACCGAAACAACCGATCGCTTGCCCGACGGGGTGCGTACTACGCAGCCGGACAGTAAGGAAGTGCGTTAGGAGCCTCCAATTGCTGCAGGGAGGCCTCAAATTAGATTGGTTATGGTCAGAAAATTGAACTGACTGGAAGGAAAATTCGAAGGTAAAAGGCGGGAAAATGAGGGTGGCCTGTCAGAGGTGACGGTTGATGACCGCGAGGGGGGAAGGAGGACGAGGATTGGCTGAGGGATGTGGGTGTGAGCGAACCTTCGAGGAAGGGCGCCTCGAGGGATATAAAAGGGGGAGAGCATGAGGGGAAGGAACGGCTTGGAGAGGAGACGAAGTTCAAGCATCAAGAAACCGAAGCCTGGGCCTAGAATTAGTGTGGTGTCCAAAATAAAGGCTTATAGCAAGCAAGAACGTGCGTCGGCGTCACTACACCAGCATAGGAAAGGGAGGGCATAATAACTATGGACGAGATGACCCGGAGCTTCGTGTGGAGCGACGGGCCAGGTAGCTTCCACATGGTGCTATGCAGCTTGTGAAAGGATAATGCCACTTGATTGATTCGGAGCGACACTTTTGCTATATCAAACTGAAACTAGTGATAAGTGCTCTGCCCGGATATGGGGACTCCTCCACTCTCTCCACAATTGCCCCATCACTCACGAGGACTCAAAAGGGCGGTGTATTTTATGACGTAAAATACGCAAGCAGGTGGATGTGTTTGGTGGGGCTTGATGGAAAGGCCCCATAACCTCTTCGTAGGATACCCCAGGTCTAGCGGTAGAGCCTCCAACTCCTCAGGGCTAGCAGCATTACCAAGTCATCAGCATACTAAAATGTTTGACCAAATTGGAGCCATCCTCCCTGAACCCACCTGGCCATTGATCAGTTTCCCATTGTATCTGTGTAGCAACTTGCTGGGACTCGGAGACGTTGATGTAGAGGCGACACCGTTTATTAACTCTTAACCCCCGTTACAGCTTCACACCCAAAGAGGTAACGGCCTCTCCACCCGCTGCTCTCAAGGGAGGTATTCCCCAGCTAAACTTCGCCTGCTCCCCAGCTATACCTCGGCCCTCTTCTAAGGGAGGCTAGCTGACCTGGCCTAGCCAAGGCGCAGGTCTCGACCACCAGCCACACGGACCCGGCCCTTACAAAGACGTCGGGCTCCGAGGCTCTGGGGTCATACCACTGGCTTGCTCTGCCTGGCCCTTACAAGGACAGCGAGTCAGAGGAGTCCCAGGGTCTAGCTAGCTGGACTTCGATCTTCAACTGGTTCTTATGGCTTCGGCTTGTTGATACTGCCTCACTCTCTCGAGTCCCCATCTTTTATCTAATTCCCTACCGAGGGGCGGGGTTCTGTGGGATCCCAGCACACCCCTCAGCCCCCTCCCGTTGGGAGGGGCGCGGGGGATCCAAACATCCCCCAGCCCCCTCCCCCCCCCCCCCCGGAGGCGCCGACTAGGGATATGACGATCACCCCGTACGTCTCAATAGCACCGTTACATCTGTAACCAGATGGAAATACCCTCGAGTTACATGATGGCAATTTTTTTTTTAAATATTATAGGGGCCACAAGACATCCCTGCCGCACCCAAGTTTAACAGGGAATGGCTACAACTCCTGGCCACTCGGCTTCACCTGGGCCTGCCCGCCATCTCATTGACTGAACTGAGGGTCAAACATACACAGAAGATTACAAAGACAAAAGATGCCCCCGTATAGCCTTAACAGACTGTAGGGGCAAGTGCTGCTAGCGAGTTGCACCTATGAAGGCAGGCACAGCACACGAGGGGGGTGGGTGGCCAGCACCACGCCCGGCCGCCTTTGTCTCCCCTCTGGTGATTTTTAAATGCCACACCAATGTACTCATTTGAGGCTGAGTCAAACAAGGGGAGGTCCAGGGACCGGTTCAGATAATAGTCACTGGTGTTGGTCGTGAGCGGCAATCGAACCCGGACCGCCAGGTTTGTAGCCGCAGCGTGCCGACCGCTCCACTATCATTTCCCACTGCATGATTACACACGAAGTGGCGACACGCGTAAAAAATGCAGCATGCATACTTGTAAACACACACACACACGCGCATGTAAACACACACAAGGGCACAATGTGCAAACACATGCACTCATTAAAATAACTTAAAAAAATATTTCAGTCCCTATCAAATCATATTTTGAGCAGCCACCTCTGTGTCTGTGGGCTCCCCACACACCAACACCACCACTGCCACATACACCAACAACAACACGTACACCACCACGTACACCAACACCACCACGTACACCACCACGTACACCAACACCACCACGTGCACCACCACGTACACCAACACCACCACCACCACCACTACACCAACACCACCACCACCACCACTACACCAACACCACCACGTACACCAACACCACCACGTGCACCAACACCACCACGTACACCACCACATACACCAACACCACCACGTACACCAACAACACCACCACGTACACCAACACCACCACGTACACCACCACGTGCACCAACACCAACACCACCACGTACACCAACACCACCACATACACCAACACCACCACATACACCACCACGTACACCAACACCACCACATACACCACCACGTATACTACCACGTACACCACCACCACGTACACTACCACGTACACCAACACGTACACCAACACGTACACCACCACGTACACCACCACATACACCACCACCACATACACCAACATGTACACCACCACGTACTACACCACCACCACCACCACCACGTACACCACCACTACACCAATACCACCACGTACACCAACAACAACACCACCACGTACACCAACACCACCACGTACACCAACACGTGCACCAACACAACCACGTGCACCACCACGGACACCAACACCAACCACAACACGTACACCACCACCACCACGTACACCACCACCACGTACACCAACACCACGTACACCAACACCACCACGTACACCACCACCACGTACACTACCACGGACACCAACACCACCACAGACACCAACACCACCACAGACACCAACAACAACAACACGTACACCACCACGTATACCACCACCACGTATACCACCACGGACACAACCACGTACACCACCACATACACCAACACCACCACGTACACCACGACATACACCAACACCACCACGTACACCACCACGGACACCACCACGTACACCAACACCACCACATACACCACGTACACCAACACCACCACGTACACCAACACCACCACGGACACCAACACCAACCACACCACCACCACGTACACCACCACGTACACCAACACCACCACCACCAACACCACCACGTACACCAACACCACCACGGACACCAACACCAACCACACCACCACGTACACCACCACGTACACCAACACCACCAACACCACCACGTACACCACCACCACCACGTACACCACCATGTACACCACCACGTACACCAACACCAACCACACCACCACCACGTACACCAACACGTACATCAACACCAGCACGTACACCAACACCACCACCACCACCCACGTACACCAACACGGACACCACCACCAACACCATCACATACACTACCACGTACACCAACACCAACCACAAAACATACACCACCACCACCACCACGTACACCACCACCACATACACCACCACGTACACCACGTACGCCACCACAACCCTCACCACCACGTACACCACCACGGACACCAACACCACCACAGACACCAACAACAACAACATGTACACACCACCATGTATACCACCACGGACACAACCACGTACACCACCACATACACCAACACCACCACGTACACCACCACGGACACCACCACGTACACCAACACCACCACTACACCAACACCACCACCACGTACACCAACACCACCACGTACACCAACACCACCACGTACACCAACACCACCACGTACACCACCACGTACACCAACACCACCACGGACACCAATAACACCACAGACACCAACACGGACACAACCACGGACACCACCACGTACACCAACACCACCACGTACACCAACACCACCACGTACACCACCATGAACACCACCACGTACACCAACACCACCACGGACACCAATAACACCACAGACACCAACACGGACACCACCATGAACACCACCACGTACACCAACACCACCACGGACACCAATAACACCACAGACACCAACACGGACACAACCACGGACACCACCACGTACACCAACACCACCACGTACACCAACACCACCACGTACACCACCATGGACACCACCACGTACACCAACACCACCACTACACCAACACCACCACCACGTACACCACCAACACCACCACGTACACCACCACCACGTACACCACCACGTACACCACCACCACCACGTACACCACCACCACGTACACCACCATGGACACCACCACGTACCCGCTTGCGCTCTTCCAGGAACTTCTTGGTGTTGTTGCTGTTAAGTTCACGTACACGCCTGTGTGCGCGCACACAACAACAACAACTGCTCCACCTCCTTGCTGTCTCATCGCCGGCTAAAAAGGAGCGTTCTGCGCACACACGGACACTCGCATTTACACACACGTACGCAAACATCGCCCCCAGTGTTAACCAACATAGCCTACGGCGGAAAGGGCTCTTTGCGAGCACCTATAAAGGCTGACCAAAAGGAATAGTGTAGCCAACACCACACGCACATATAACACCAACAACCGCCGTTCCCCACTAAGTGGTGGTGACGTCATCACGGCGCTTGTGCCAGGCTAGGTGCACTTCGAGGGCACGTGAAGTGTCGAAGGGTCGCTGGCAGGTCATGGGATAGGACTCGGGTGCCGTGGGTTGACCGACTGAGATGCCAACTTGGTGCATTTTATACGCCCAGTACTCCCACTCTTTGTTGTGAGCGTTACTCCTCTGCCCTCCGCTGTTGTTGGAGGGCGAGTGCCTTCAACTGCCCAGTAGCAGCGTCCTTCACGAGGCTCCTCCACAGAGGCCGATTTTGACACAACCGGTACCGGTCAATGGCAAGTCCACTCAGCTCCACATTCTTCCGTACCGTATCAGCTCCATCTCTCCTCTACCCTGTGCCGTGCCTATTTAGCCCCCTCTATCCAGCCAAACAGAAGCTGCCTGGGTATGCGGTGGCCGGGCATGCGGGCTACACGACCCAGCCAACGCAGCCTCGCCCGCCGGAAAAGCTCGCTAATGTGGCAGTGACCATATCTTTGAAGGATCTGTGAGTTCCTCACACACGCAAGCACGCAGACGCACGCGAACACACACACACACACCACAGGGGCGGTGGTCGTGGTAGCGAAGGCAGGAGGACACAAACGCCACAGGGGGGCCTGCGTACAAACGCCACCTTCCCCCCACACACACACACGCACACACGCTCGTTGCACCGCGGCAACGAGCGTGCATCACCGTAGCACGGGAACACCACTCGAATAAAACATAGCAGCCGTGCGGCGGGGGCCTTGCCTGTCACGCTCAGCCTTGTTCTTGATGCTCTTGTCCTGGCTGATGGCCTTGCTGTGCTCCATGGAGGTCTTCGTCTGGTTGGCTCGCATCTCCTTGCACAGCCTGCGGGCGCGTGGAGACTCGCATTGGGGGGGGGGGGGGGGGGGTGCTACGCAGAGGCCCGGCCAGGAGGCGCGCCCGCAACGCTCATCCAGAGTTAACATTGAAGTCTATGGGAGCCTTTAACATTGAAGTCTATGGGAGCCTTTCGCATTGAAGTCTATGGGAGCCTTTCGCATTGAAGTCTATGGGAGACTTTAGCATTGAAGTCTATGGGAGACTTTAGCATTGAAGTCTATGGGAGACTTTAACATTGAAGTCTATGGGAGCCTTTCGCATTTAAGTCTATGGGAGCCTTTAGCATTGAAGTCTATGGGAGACTTTAGCATTGAAGTCTATGGGAGCCTTCAACATTGAAGTCTATGGGAGACTTTAACATTGAAGTCTATGGGAGCCTTTAACATTGAAGTCTATGGGAGCCTTTCGCATTGAAGTCTATGGGAGCCTTTCGCATTGAAGTCTATGGGAGACTTTAGCATTGAAGTCTATGGGAGACTTTAGCATTGAAGTCTATGGGAGACTTTAGCATTGAAGTCTATGGGAGCCTTCAACATTGAAGTCTATGGGAGACTTTAACATTGAAGTCTATGGGAGCCTTTAACATTGAAGTCTATGGGAGCCTTTCGCATTGAAGTCTATGGGAGCCTTTCGCATTGAAGTCTATGGGATACTTTAGCATTGAAGTCTATGGGAGACTTTAGCATTGAAGTCTATGGGAGGCTTTAACATTGAAGTCTATGGGAGCCTTTCGCATTTAAGTCTATGGGAGCCTTTAGCATTGAAGTCTATGGGAGACTTTAGCATTGAAGTCTATGGGAGCCTTCAACATTGAAGTCTATGGGAGACTTTAACATTGAAGTCTATGGGAGCCTTCAACATTGAAGTCTATGGGAGGCTTCAATATTGAAGTCTATGGGAGCCTTTAGCATTGAAGTCTATGGGAGCCTTTAACATTGAAGTCTATGGGAGCCTTCAACATTGAAGTCTATGGGAGCCTTTAGAATTGAAGTCTATAGGAGCCTTTAACATTGAAGTATATGGGAGCCTTTAACATTAAAGTCTATGGGAGCCTTTAGCATTGAAGTCTATGGGAGGTTTCAATATTGAAGTCTATGGGAGCCTTTAGCATTGAAGTCTATGGGAGCCTTTAACATTGAAGTCTATGGGAGCCTTCAACATTGAAGTCTATGGGAGCCTTTAGAATTGAAGTCTATAGGAGCCTTTAACATTGTAGTCTATGGGAGCCTTTAACATTAAAGTCTATGGGAGCCTTTAGCATTGAAGTCTATGGGAGCCTTAAACATTGAAGTCTATTGGAGCCTTTAACATTGAAGTCTATGGAAGCCTTTAACATTGAAGTCTATGGGAGCCTTTAACATAGAAGTCTATGGGAGCCTTTAGCATTGAAGTCTATGGGAGCCTTTAACATTGAAGTCTATGGGAGCCTTTCGCATTGAAGTCTATGGGAGCCTTTCGCATTGAAGTCTATGGGAGACTTTAGCATTGAAGTCTATGGGAGACTTTAGCATTGAAGTCTATGGGAGACTTTAACATTGAAGTCTATGGGAGCCTTTCGCATTTAAGTCTATGGGAGCCTTTAGCATTGAAGTCTATGGGAGACTTTAGCATTGAAGTCTATGGGAGCCGTCAACATTGAAGTCTATGGGAGACTTTAACATTGAAGTCTATGGGAGCCTTTAACATTGAAGTCTATGGGAGCCTTTCGCATTGAAGTCTATGGGAGACTTTAGCATTGAAGTCTATGGGAGACTTTAGCATTGAAGTCTATGGGAGACTTTAGCATTGAAGTCTATGGGAGACTTTAGCATTGAAGTCTATGGGAGACTTTAACATTGAAGTCTATGGGAGCCTTTCGCATTTAAGTCTATGGGAGCCTTTAGCATTGAAGTCTATGGGAGACTTTAGCATTGAAGTCTATGGGAGCCTTCAACATTGAAGTCTATGGGAGACTTTAACATTGAAGTCTATGGGAGCCTTTAACATTGAAGTCTATGGGAGCCTTTCGCATTGAAGTCTATGGGAGCCTTTCGCATTGAAGTCTATGGGAGACTTTAGCATTGAAGTCTATGGGAGACTTTAGCATTGAAGTCTATGGGAGACTTTAGCATTGAAGTCTATGGGAGCCTTCAACATTGAAGTCTATGGGAGACTTTAACATTGAAGTCTATGGGAGCCTTTAACATTGAAGTCTATGGGAGCCTTTCGCCTTCAACATTGAAGTCTATGGGAGACTTTAACATTGAAGTCTATGGGAGCCTTTAACATTGAAGTCTATGGGAGCCTTTCGCATTGAAGTCTATGGGAGCCTTTCGCATTGAAGTCTATGGGAGACTTTAGCATTGAAGTCTATGGGAGACTTTAGCATTGAAGTCTATGGGAGACTTTAGCATTGAAGTCTATGGGAGCCTTCAACATTGAAGTCTATGGGAGACTTTAACATTGAAGTCTATGGGAGCCTTTAACATTGAAGTCTATGGGAGCCTTTCGCATTGAAGTCTATGGGAGCCTTTCGCATTGAAGTCTATGGGATACTTTAGCATTGAAGTCTATGGGAGACTTTAGCATTGAAGTCTATGGGAGGCTTTAACATTGAAGTCTATGGGAGCCTTTCGCATTTAAGTCTATGGGAGCCTTTAGCATTGAAGTCTATGGGAGACTTTAGCATTGAAGTCTATGGGAGCCTTCAACATTGAAGTCTATGGGAGACTTTAACATTGAAGTCTATGGGAGCCTTCAACATTGAAGTCTATGGGAGGCTTCAATATTGAAGTCTATGGGAGCCTTTAGCATTGAAGTCTATGGGAGCCTTTAACATTGAAGTCTATGGGAGCCTTCAACATTGAAGTCTATGGGAGCCTTTAGAATTGAAGTCTATAGGAGCCTTTAACATTGAAGTATATGGGAGCCTTTAACATTAAAGTCTATGGGAGCCTTTAGCATTGAAGTCTATGGGAGGTTTCAATATTGAAGTCTATGGGAGCCTTTAGCATTGAAGTCTATGGGAGCCTTTAACATTGAAGTCTATGGGAGCCTTCAACATTGAAGTCTATGGGAGCCTTTAGAATTGAAGTCTATAGGAGCCTTTAACATTGTAGTCTATGGGAGCCTTTAACATTAAAGTCTATGGGAGCCTTTAGCATTGAAGTCTATGGGAGCCTTAAACATTGAAGTCTATTGGAGCCTTTAACATTGAAGTCTATGGAAGCCTTTAACATTGAAGTCTATGGGAGCCTTTAACATAGAAGTCTATGGGAGCCTTTAGCATTGAAGTCTATGGGAGCCTTTAACATTGAAGTCTATGGGAGCCTTTCGCATTGAAGTCTATGGGAGCCTTTCGCATTGAAGTCTATGGGAGACTTTAGCATTGAAGTCTATGGGAGACTTTAGCATTGAAGTCTATGGGAGACTTTAACATTGAAGTCTATGGGAGCCTTTCGCATTTAAGTCTATGGGAGCCTTTAGCATTGAAGTCTATGGGAGACTTTAGCATTGAAGTCTATGGGAGCCGTCAACATTGAAGTCTATGGGAGACTTTAACATTGAAGTCTATGGGAGCCTTTAACATTGAAGTCTATGGGAGCCTTTCGCATTGAAGTCTATGGGAGACTTTAGCATTGAAGTCTATGGGAGACTTTAGCATTGAAGTCTATGGGAGCCTTCAACATTGAAGTCTATGGGAGACTTTAACATTGAAGTCTATGGGAGCCTTTAACATTGAAGTCTATGGGAGCCTTTCGCATTGAAGTCTATGGGAGCCTTTCGCATTGAAGTCTATGGGAGGCTTCAATATTGAAGTCTATGGGAGCCTTTAGCATTGAAGTCTATGGGAGCCTTTAGAATTGAAGTCTATAGGAGCCTTTAACATTGAAGTCTATGGGAGCCTTTAACATTAAAGTCTATGGGAGCCTTTAGCATTGAAGTCTATGGGAGGTTTCAATATTGAAGTCTATGGGAGCCTTTAGCATTGAAGTCTATGGGAGCCTTAAACATTGAAGTCTATTGGAGCCTTTAACATTGAAGTCTATGGAAGCCTTTAACATTGAAGTCTATGGGAGCCTTTAACATAGAAGTCTATGGGAGCCTTTAGCATTGAAGTCTATGGGAGCCTTTAACATTGAAGTCTATGGGAGCCTTTCGCATTGAAGTCTATGGGAGCCTTTCGCATTGAAGTCTATGGGAGACTTTAGCATTGAAGTCTATGGGAGACTTTAGCATTGAAGTCTATGGGAGACTTTAACATTGAAGTCTATGGGAGCCTTTCGCATTTAAGTCTATGGGAGCCTTTAGCATTGAAGTCTATGGGAGACTTTAGCATTGAAGTCTATGGGAGCCTTCAACATTGAAGTCTATGGGAGACTTTAACATTGAAGTCTATGGGAGCCTTTAACATTGAAGTCTATGGGTGCCTTTCGCATTGAAGTCTATGGGAGCCTTTCGCATTGAAGTCTATGGGAGACTTTAGCATTGAAGTCTATGGGAGACTTTAGCATTGAAGTCTATGGGAGACTTTAGCATTGAAGTCTATGGGAGCCTTCAACATTGAAGTCTATGGGAGACTTTAACATTGAAGTCTATGGGAGCCTTTAACATTGAAGTCTATGGGAGCCTTTCGCATTGAAGTCTATGGGAGCCTTTCGCATTGAAGTCTATGGGAGACTTTAGCATTGAAGTCTATGGGAGACTTTAGCATTGAAGTCTATGGGAGACTTTAACATTGAAGTCTATGGGAGCCTTTCGCATTTAAGTCTATGGGAGCCTTTAGCATTGAAGTCTATGGGAGACTTTAGCATTGAAGTCTATGGGAGCCTTCAACATTGAAGTCTATGGGAGACTTTAACATTGAAGTCTATGGGAGCCTTCAACATTGAAGTCTATGGGAGGCTTCAATATTGAAGTCTATGGGAGCCTTTAGCATTGAAGTCTATGGGAGCCTTTAACATTGAAGTCTATGGGAGCCTTCAACATTGAAGTCTATGGGAGCCTTTAGAATTGAAGTCTATAGGAGCCTTTAACATTGAAGTCTATGGGAGCCTTTAACATTAAAGTCTATGGGAGCCTTTAGCATTGAAGTCTATGGGAGGTTTCAATATTGAAGTCTATGGGAGCCTTTAGCATTGAAGTCTATGGGAGCCTTTAACATTGAAGTCTATGGGAGCCTTCAACATTGAAGTCTATGGGAGCCTTTAGAATTGAAGTCTATAGGAGCCTTTAACATTGAAGTCTATGGGAGCCTTTAACATTAAAGTCTATGGGAGCCTTTAGCATTGAAGTCTATGGGAGCCTTAAACATTGAAGTCTATTGGAGCCTTTAACATTGAAGTCTATGGAAGCCTTTAACATTGAAGTCTATGGGAGCCTTTAACATTGAAGTCTATGGGAGCCTTTAGCATTGAAGTCTATGGAAGTCTTTAACATTGAAGTCTATGGGAGCCTTTAGCACCTGTCATGGACCATCTTGAGCTGTGCGCTCTGCAACTCGTGGGACCCCAGCAGCAGCTTCTTGAGCAGCTCGTACTGCTCGTCGACCTGTCCGTCACGCAGCTCCTGCTCTTCCTGCACGTGGCGCGATATCAACTCCGACCACTCCTTCGTCTGCAGCCCCACCATCTCCTTCACCTGAGAGACGCACACAGCACATTCACGTGCGTGCGTGCGTGTGTGTGTGCGTACATTCACTTAACACACAACCGTCTCCTGCACACACACACACATACATTACATACGTAGAAAGACAAACATGCCCCGTGGAGCCTGAGCAAACTAATTGAGGTAAAGGGCTGTCAGTGAGCACCTATGAAGGCAGCCTTTGTCTCCCCAGTGGCGATGTTTACACACCGCACCAGGTACTCATTTGAAACCAAGTCGACCTAGGGGAGGCCCAGCACCGCTTGAGATAATCGTCACCGGCGTTGACCGTGAGTGGGAATCGAACTCGGTTCATAGCGCGGGCGCACTAACCACAACACTACCGCTCCCCACACAATGACATTACATGACACAGACACTCTCTGACGACAGCAACAATCACACAACACACGTACAACTACCTCCTTGACCAGCGAGATGCACTCCCACAGACATTCACGTCCGCTCACGAGCGAGAAACTCATTTCCTTAACCCAGCAGGGAGGATCGGCTATGTCGATCTCGCGACCTGGAATGGGCGCTCCGACTCCTCACCCGTGCGCATGCGTGCCACGTGAACGGTGTGTGTGTGTCACGTGAACGGGGTGTGCGTGTGTGTCATGGCGTGCGTGCCACGTGAACGGTGTGTGTGTGTCACAGCGTGTGTGCCACGTGAACGGTGTGTGTGTGTGTGTGTGTCACAGCGTGCGTGCCAAGTGAACGGTGCGTGTGTGTCACGGCGTGCGTCACCGGCGGCACCCTCAACTCGCCTTCTGCTTGTGCTCTGATATCAACACCTGAGTCTTCAGTTCCATTTCCTTCTTCAGGTCGGCGCACTTCCTCTCCCTGGGGGGTTGGGGGGGGCGGGGGGGTGGGGGGGGGCAAACGCTCGGTCAGGTGAGACGCAGCCCCGGGTGGGTGGCCCATGGACACACCCCGGGCTGGCTGCTGGAATCATCGGGAGGAGCGTGCGCCCGTGGGATTGCGTTCGCGCGAATCCCCCTCCGAGCTCCACATCCAATCGTGTCCCCCTCGTTAACCTCCTTCCATTCCTCCGTTGAAGCCTCGCCTCTATTTCATCGCTCATGCCCTTCCCCTCGTCCCTCCACTGCCTCCCGTCCCACTCCCTCTACCCTTTCGTGAACCCCAACAACCCGTGTATTGTGCTCGCTCGCTCCGCAGCCCCAGCACACCCCTGTCGTGTAGATCTTTCTCTTTTCTTTCCATTTCATTCAAAAGCTCAAGGCGCTTCTTTTGAAAGCGCCTTGAGCGAAGGCGCTCTACTATGTGAATATGAGATGAGATATCAAGAGCATGCTCACCGCCTCCAATAGCCTCCATGGAGCTCACCCTCGTCTACCTCTCCCCCTCTCAGCTCCACCCCCCTTCTATTCACTCTCCTACCTCTGTCCTCTAATTTCACCACTCACACGCAGTCTCCTACCTCTCATCTTACTTTATTGGCAGTAATACAGCGGGACCAACTGACAAACGACACACAGCGGGACCAACAGACAGACGACACACAGCGGGACCAAAATGACAGACGACACACAGCAGGACCAACAGACAGACGTCACACAGCAGGACCCAACTGACAAGACGTCACACAGCAGGAACCAACTGACAGACGACACACAGCGGGACCCAACTGACAGACGGCACACAGCAGGACCCAACTGACAAGACGTCACACAGCAGGACCAACTGACAGACGACACACAGCGGGACCAACTGACAGACGACACACAGCTTGACCAACTGACAGACGACACACAGCGGGACCCAACTGACAAGACGACACACAGTGGGACCAACTGACAAGACAACATACAGCGGGACCAACTGACAGCCGACACACAGCGGGACCCAACTGACAGACGACACACAGCGGGACCAACTGACAAGACAACACACAGCGGGACCAACTGACAGCCGACACACAGCGGGACCCAACTGACAGACGACACACAGCGGGACCAACTGACAGACGACACACAGCGGGACCAACTGACAGCCGACACACAGCGGGACCCAACTGACAGACGACACACAGCGGGACCAACTGACAGACGACACACAGCGGGACCAACTGACAGCCGACACACAGCGGGACCCAACTGACAGACGACACACAGCGGGACCAACTGACAGACGACACACAGCGGGACCAACTGACAGACGACACACAGCGGGACCCAACTGACAAGACGTCACACAGCGCCACCAAATGCCAAGATAACAACAGAGCCCAGAGGGCACTGCTCCCTACTGACCCACGCTTCCGCACAGCTTTCTCCAGCCCCTTGGCCAGTCCCATCTTCTCTTTGTCGTGCTGAGCCACCAGCTTGTCCACCTGCTGGCAGTGAGCGCGCTGCACCGCGTACTGCTCCTGCGGCGCTCGCACGCAACGGAACAAATCAACACACACGGGCACAAAGATCCCCTCTCGTGCAAGGCCTGCCGACGCATGCCGTCGGCGTGAAAGTGCCCTCAGCGAGCGCCAACGTGAGGATTGATAAGCAAGCTATGCCGCAGCCTTTACTGGTAGCCTTACACGGCCCCCGCGAGCACCGCATGGCACACGTTCCACTCGTCAGCATGTCCAAGTGACGCTGCCCATCAGCTGCTGTCACTCGCTCGCTCTTCAATCGTCAGTTCCCTAATATCCCACCTCCCTGCCGATTGCATCCTCACCGTTTGAACAGAAGCGCTTTTCAGCACGTGGCCCGTGGGCATCCTGCCGCAGCTTTCTGCCGTGAGCCTTCTCCCTTGATCCGATTGGCTAACGGAGGCCCTCCCCCCCTTCCTGACACCCCAAAGCAACCGGCAAATTTCTGACAGCAGCACATCGCTCGCTTTCACGCAAGCCGCCATCTCCCCCTGACGGCGTCACGATCCCCTCTCCTCCACACACCCCTCCATCGTCGCCATCGTTCATCAACCTCGACACACGCCTCCTGCATTTCAGTGCCACGGTACCGGTCACAACAATTTGCTAGCGGCATGCGCGTGCCGCTGAGGGGTTAGTTGGCCGGTGTGGTGTGAGGCAAGCGTTGCGTGCGGGCGAGAGAGATGGTGGGGATTGTGTGAGGGAGCGGTAGTGTAGCAGCGGCTAGTGCGCTGCCTCTACGGAACTCAGCGCTCCCGAGTTCCATTTCTGCTCACGGCCAACACCGGTGACGATTATCTGAACCGGTCCCGGGCCTCCCCGAGGTCGACTCGGCTGCACATGAGTACCTGGCGCGGTGTGAACATCGCCACCTGGGGAGACAAAGGCGGCCCGGGCGTGGTGCTGGCCACCCACCCCCCTCGTTGCGCCGTGCCGGCCTTCATAGAGGTGCTGCTCGCGAACGGCACGGGCTGTACGGGGGATCTTAATCTTTGGTGGCGATTGTGTCTGTTGCGGGAGGAGTCGCTGGGCATGTGGGTCCACTCCGATTGGCACTCACCTTCGCCTGTTTTCTTTTCAAGCACACCAGCTCCTTCTGCTGCTTCCGCAGGAGCTTCAGGTAACCCTGACACAGCGTCGCAAGGCACAGCAGTTTGTGTCACTCAGGACCACACCGCCACACGGATTTTGTTTTTTTTGTTAAAGGTGTAAAGACAGTGTGTCGGCAAGCTCCAAGAAGGAGGGTTCAAGATCAAAGGCGGGGCCAAGGGCAGAGGAGTGCCACGCCCGGGATAAAAAGGGGGCGAGGAGTGAGGTTCGGGGCTGTTTGGTTGGGGTTAGGGATGTCGTCATTGTCCATCGTCGTCGTAACTGTCTTCACGTCATCATTGTCTATCGTCGTCGCTGCCTGTCTCATCGTCGCTGTCTTCACGTCGTCACTGTCTTCACGTCACTGTCTTCACGTCGTCACTGTCTTCACGTCGTCACTGTCTTCACGTCACTGTCTTCACGTCACTGTCTTCACGTCACCGTCTTCACGTCACCGTCTTCACGTCACTGTCTTCACGTCACCGTCTTCACGTCACCGTCTTCACATCACTGTCTTCACGTCGTCACTGTCTTCACGTCACTGTCTTCACGTCGTCACTGTCTTCACGTCACTGTCTTCACGTCACCGTCTTCACGTCACCGTCTTCACGTCACTGTCTTCACGTCACCGTCTTCACGTCACTGTCTTCACGTCACTGTCTTCACGTCGTCACCGTCTTCACGTCACCGTCTTCACGTCACCGTCTTCACGTCGTCACTGTCTTCACGTCACTGTCTTCACGTCACTGTCTTCACGTCACCGTCTTCACGTCACTGTCTTCACGGCACTGTCTTCACGTCACTGTCTTCACGTCGTCACTGTCTTCACGTCACTGTCTTCACGTCACTGTCTTCACGTCGTCACTGTCTTCACGTCGTCACTGTCTTCACGTCACCGTCTTCACGTCGTCACTGTCTTCACGTCACTGTCTTCACGTCACTGTCTTCACGTCACTGTCTTCACGTCACTGTCTTCACGTCACTGTCTTCACGTCGTCACTGTCTTCACGTCACTGTCTTCACGTCACTGTCTTCACGTCACTGTCTTCACGTTACTGTCTTCACGTCACCGTCTTCACGTCACCGTCTTCACGTCGTCACTGTCTTCACGTCACCGTCTTCACGTCACTGTCTTCACGTCACCGTTTTCACGTCGTCACCGTCTTCACGTCACCGTCTTCACGTCACTGTCTTCACGTCACCGTCTTCACGTCGTCACCGTCTTCACGTTACCGTCTTCATGTCACTGCCTTCACGTCGTCACTGTCTTCACGTCGTCACCGTCTTCACGTCACTGTCTTCACGTCACCGTCTTCACGTCACTGTCTTCACGTCACTGTCTTCACGTCACTGTCTTCACGTCGTCACTGTCTTCACATCACCGTCTTCACGTCGTCACTGTCTTCACGTCACTGTCTTCACGTCACTGTCTTCACGTCACTGTCTTCACGTCACTGTCTTCACGTCGTCACCGTCTTCACGTCGTCACTGTCTTCACGTCACCGTCTTCACGTCACTGTCTTCACGTCACTGTCTTCACGTCGTCACTGTCTTCACGTCACCGTCTTCACGTCACTGTCTTCACGTCACCGTCTTCACGTCACTGTCTTCACGGCACTGTCTTCACGTCACTGTCTTCACGTCGTCACTGTCTTCACGTCACTGTCTTCACGTCACTGTCTTCACGTCGTCACTGTCTTCACGTCGTCACTGTCTTCACGTCACCGTCTTCACGTCGTCACTGTCTTCACGTCACTGTCTTCACGTCACTGTCTTCACGTCACTGTCTTCACGTCACTGTCTTCACGTCACTGTCTTCACGTCGTCACTGTCTTCACGTCACTGTCTTCACGTCACTGTCTTCACGTCACTGTCTTCACGTTACTGTCTTCACCGTCACCGTCTTCACGTCACCGTCTTCACGTCGTCACTGTCTTCACGTCACCGTCTTCACGTCACTGTCTTCACGTCACCGTTTTCACGTCGTCACCGTCTTCACGTCACCGTCTTCACGTCACTGTCTTCACGTCACCGTCTTCACGTCGTCACCGTCTTCACGTTACCGTCTTCATGTCACTGCCTTCACGTCGTCACTGTCTTCACGTCGTCACCGTCTTCACGTCACTGTCTTCACGTCACCGTCTTCACGTCACTGTCTTCACGTCACTGTCTTCACGTCACTGTCTTCACGTCGTCACTGTCTTCACATCACCGTCTTCACGTCGTCACTGTCTTCACGTCACTGTCTTCACGTCACTGTCTTCACGTCACTGTCTTCACGTCACTGTCTTCACGTCGTCACCGTCTTCACGTCGTCACTGTCTTCACGTCACTGTCTTCACGTCACTGTCTTCACGTCACTGTCTTCACGTCACTGTCTTCACGTCGTCACCGTCTACACGTCACTGTCTTCACGTCACCGTCTTCACGTCGTCACCGTCTTCACGTCACCGCCTTCACGTCGTCACTGTCTTCACGTCGTCACTGTCTTCACGTCACTGTCTTCACGTCACCGTCTTCACGTCACCGTCTTCACTTCACTGTCTTCACGTCAATGTCTTCACGTCACTGTCTTCACGTCGTCACGTCACTGTCTTCACGTCACTGTCTTCACGTCGTCACCGTCTTCACGTCACCGTCTTCACGTCGTCACTGTCTTCACGTCACTGTCTTCACGTCACTGTCTTCACGTCACTGTCATCACGTCGTCACTGTCTTCACGTCACTGTCTTCACGTCGTCACTGTCTTCACGTCACTGTCTTCACGTCACCGTCTTCACGTCACCGTCTTCACGTCACTGTCTTCACGTCACTGTCTTCACGTCACTGTCTTCACGTCACTGTCTTCACGTCACTGTCTTCACGTCGTCACCGTTTTCACGTCACTGTCTTCACGTCGTCACTGTCTTCACGTCACTGTCTTCACGTCACTGTCTTCACGTCGTCACTGTCTTCACGTCGTCACTGTCTTCACGTCACCGTCTTCACGTCACTGTCTTCACGTCACTGTCTTCACGTCACTGTCTTCACGTCACTGTCTTCACGTCACTGTCTTCACGTCGTCACTGTCTTCACGTCGTCACTGTCTTCACGTCATCACTGTCTTCACGTCACTGTCTTCACGTCACTGTCTTCACGTCACTGTCTTCACGTCACTGTCTTCACGTCGTCACTGTCTTCACGTCACTGTCTTCACGTCACCGTCTTCACGTCACTGTCTTCACGTCACTGTCCTCACGTCACTGTCTTCACGTCGTCACCGTCTTCACGTCACTGTCTTCACGTCACTGTCTTCACGTCACTGTCTTCACGTCACTGTCTTCACGTCGTCACTGTCTTCACGTCGTCACTGTCTTCACGTCGTCACTGTCTTCACGTCACTGTCTTCACGTCACTGTCTTCACGTCGTCACTGTCTTCACGTCGTCACTGTCTTCACGTCGTCACTGTCTTCACGTCACTGTCTTCACGTCACCGTCTTCACGTCACCGTCTTCACGTCACTGTCTTCACGTCACCGTCTTCACGTCACTGTCTTCACGTCACTGTCTTCACGTCGTGACTGTCTTCACGTCGTCACTGTCTTCACGTCACTGTCTTCACGTCGTCACTGTCTTCACGTCGTCACTGTCTTCACGTCACTGTCTTCACGTCACTGTCTTCACGTCACTGTCTTCACGTCGTCACTGTCTTCACGTCGTCACTGTCTTCACGTCGTCACTGTCTTCACGTCGTCACTGTCTTCACGTCACTGTCTTCACGTCACTGTCTTCACGTCACTGTCTTCACGTCACTGTCTTCACGTCACTGTCTTCACGTCGTCACTGTCTTCACGTCGTCACTGTCTTCACGTCGTCACTGTCTTCACGTCACCGTCTTCACGTCACCGTCTTCACGTCACCGTCTTCACGTCACTGTCTTCACGTCACTGTCTTCACGTCACTGTCTTCACGTCGTGACTGTCTTCACGTCGTCACTCTCTTCACGTCACTGTCTTCATGTCGTCACTGTCTTCACGTCACTGTCTTCACGTCACTGTCTTCACGTCACTGTCTTCACGTCACTGTCTTCACGTCGTCACTGTCTTCACGTCACCGTCTTCACGTCGTCACTGTCTTCACGTCACTGTCTTCACATCACTGTCTTCACGTCACTGTCTTCACGTCACTGTCTTCACGTCGTCACCGTCTTCACGTCGTCACTGTCTTCACGTCACTGTCTTCACGTCACTGTCTTCACGTCACTGTCTTCACGTCACTGTCTTCACGTCGTCACCGTCTACACGTCACTGTCTTCACGTCACCGTCTTCACGTCGTCACCGTCTTCACGTCACCGTCTTCACGTCACCGCCTTCACGTCGTCACTGTCTTCACGTCGTCACTGTCTTCACGTCACTGTCTTCACGTCACCGTCTTCACGTCACTGTCTTCACTTCACTGTCTTCACGTCAATGTCTTCACGTCACTGTCTTCACGTCGTCACGTCACTGTCTTCACGTCACTGTCTTCACGTCGTCACCGTCTTCACGTCACTGTCTTCACGTCGTCACTGTCTTCACGTCACTGTCTTCACGTCACTGTCATCACGTCGTCACTGTCTTCACGTCACTGTCTTCACGTCGTCACTGTCTTCACGTCACTGTCTTCACGTCACCGTCTTCACGTCACTGTCTTCACGTCGTCACTGTCTTCACGTCACTGTCTTCACGTCACTGTCTTCACGTCACTGTCTTCACGTCGTCACCGTTTTCACGTCACTGTCTTCACGTCGTCACCGTCTTCACGTCACTGTCTTCACGTCACTGTCTTCACGTCACTGTCTTCACGTCACTGTCTTCACGTCACTGTCTTCACGTCGTCACTGTCTTCACGTCACTGTCTTCACGTCGTCACTGTCTTCACGTCACTGTCTTCACGTCGTCACTGTCTTCACGTCACTGTCTTCACGTCACTGTCTTCACGTCACTGTCTTCACGTCACTGTCTTCACGTCACTGTCTTCACGTCGTCACTGTCTTCACGTCATCACTGTCTTCACGTCACTGTCTTCACGTCACTGTCTTCACGTCACTGTCTTCACGTCACTGTCTTCACGTCGTCACTGTCTTCACGTCACTTTCTTCACGTCACTGTCTTCACGTCACCGTCTTCACGTCACTGTCTTCACGTCACTGTCCTCACGTCACTGTCTTCACGTCGTCACCGTCTTCACGTCACTGTCTTCACGTCACTGTCTTCACGTCACTGTCTTCACGTCACTGTCTTCACGTCGTCACTGTCTTCACGTCGTCACTGTCTTCACGTCGTCACTGTCTTCACGTCACTGTCTTCACGTCACTGTCTTTACGTCGTCACTGTCTTCACGTCACTGTCTTCACGTCGTCACTGTCTTCACGTCGTCACTGTCTTCACGTCACTGTCTTCACGTCACCGTCTTCACGTCACTGTCTTCACGTCACTGTCTTCACGTCACCGTCTTCACGTCACTGTCTTCACGTCACTGTCTTCACGTCGTGACTGTCTTCACGTCGTCACTGTCTTCACGTCACTGTCTTCACGTCGTCACTGTCTTCACGTCACTGTCTTCACGTCACTGTCTTCACGTCACTGTCTTCACGTCACTGTCTTCACGTCACTGTCTTCACGTCGTCACTGTCTTCACGTCGTCACTGTCTTCACGTCGTCACTGTCTTCACGTCGTCACTGTCTTCACGTCACTGTCTTCACGTCACTGTCTTCACGTCACTGTCTTCACGTCACTGTCTTCACGTCACTGTCTTCACGTCACTGTCTTCACGTCGTCACTGTCTTCACGTCGTCACTGTCTTCACGTCACCGTCTTCACGTCACCGTCTTCACGTCACCGTCTTCACGTCACTGTCATCACGTCGTCACTGTCTTCACGTCACTGTCTTCACGTCGTCACTGTCTTCACGTCACTGTCTTCACGTCACCGTCTTCACGTCACTGTCTTCACGTCGTCACTGTCTTCACGTCACTGTCTTCACGTCACTGTCTTCACGTCACTGTCTTCACGTCGTCACCGTTTTCACGTCACTGTCTTCACGTCGTCACCGTCTTCACGTCACTGTCTTCACGTCGTCACCGTCTTCACGTCACTGTCTTCACGTCACTGTCTTCACGTCACTGTCTTCACGTCACTGTCTTCACGTCGTCACTGTCTTCACGTCGTCACTGTCTTCACGTCACTGTCTTCACGTCGTCACTGTCTTCACGTAACTGTCTTCACGTCACTGTCTTCACGTCACTGTCTTCACGTCACTGTCTTCACGTCACTGTCTTCACGTCGTCACTGTCTTCACGTCGTCACTGTCTTCACGTCATCACTGTCTTCACGTCACTGTCTTCACGTCACTGTCTTCACGTCACTGTCTTCACGTCACTGTCTTCACGTCACTGTCTTCACGTCGTCACTGTCTTCACGTCACTTTCTTCACGTCACTGTCTTCACGTCACCGTCTTCACGTCACTGTCTTCACGTCACTGTCCTCACGTCACTGTCTTCACGTCGTCACCGTCTTCACGTCACTGTCTTCACGTCACTGTCTTCACGTCACTGTCTTCACGTCACTGTCTTCACGTCGTCACTGTCTTCACGTCGTCACTGTCTTCACGTCGTCACTGTCTTCACGTCACTGTCTTCACGTCACTGTCTTTACGTCGTCACTGTCTTCACGTCACTGTCTTCACGTCGTCACTGTCTTCACGTCGTCACTGTCTTCACGTCACTGTCTTCACGTCACCGTCTTCACGTCACTGTCTTCACGTCACTGTCTTCACGTCACCGTCTTCACGTCACTGTCTTCACGTCACTGTCTTCACGTCGTGACTGTCTTCACGTCGTGACTGTCTTCACGTCACTGTCTTCACGTCGTCACTGTCTTCACGTCACTGTCTTCACGTCACTGTCTTCACGTCACTGTCTTCACGTCGTCACTGTCTTCACGTCGTCACTGTCTTCACGTCGTCACTGTCTTCACGTCGTCACTGTCTTCACGTCGTCACTGTCTTCACGTCACTGTCTTCACGTCACTGTCTTCACGTCACTGTCTTCACGTCACTGTCTTCACGTCATCACTGTCTTCACGTCGTCACTGTCTTCACGTCACCGTCTTCACGTCACCGTCTTCACGTCACCGTCTTCACGTCACCGTCTTCACGTCACTGTCTTCACGTCACTGTCTTCACGTCGTGACTGTCTTCACGTCGTCACTGTCTTCACGTCACTGTCTTCATGTCGTCACTGTCTTCACGTCACTGTCTTCACGTCACTGTCTTCACGTCACTGTCTTCACGTCACTGTCTTCACGTCACTGTCTTCACGTCACTGTCTTCATGTCACTGTCTTCACGTCGTCACCCTCATCAGTCCGTGTCCGTAGTCCCTACACGACGGCCTTGAGGAGGCGGGGGGGGGGGGGGGGCGGCAGCCATCATGTCACCTTCATCCTCTTCAAGTCTTCGATGGTGAACTGTGGGATGATGACCACCGTGTCTGCAGAGACACACCGATCAGCAGACGCGAAGGGAAGGTCAATGGTCGGTTAACGAGGGGAGATGGGGTGATCTCACTGTTAATGAGGGGATAACGTCACAATCTCACTGTTAATGATGGGATAACGTCACAATCTCACTGTTAATGAGGGGATAACGTCACAATCTCACTGTTAATTAGGGGAAAACGTCACAATCTCACTGTTAATGAGGGATCACGTCACAATCTCACTGTTAATGAGGGGATAACGTCACAATCTCACCGTTAATGGGGGGATAACGATACGATATCAACATCACGCTATAAATTTCCACGCGATGATAAGCCGCTTCTTTGAGCCATCATTTGCGATAGCCAGATCGCTTCTGAAAAAAAGAGCTTGACAGCTCTGTGAGCCTCAGACTTTAAATACAAATGTGTTCAGTTAATGAATGAAAGAATATACGCGGGATGGGAGGGAGGGAAAGAGGGAGGAGTTGGTAGGGGGGGGGGAGGGAGGAGGAGGAAGATGAGGTAAGAGGAGGAGGAGGAGGACCTCTCTTGCGCTCCGTGCCATGGCTGTTCTGCTCGCAGTAGTAGGACGAGGCTGAGTGCTTCAGCTCGGAGCTGCTCTGTGGCGTGACGCTCGCCCGCACGGGCGTGACGCCGCCGCGGCTGTCGCTCCTCAGCGTGCCGCCGCTCGGTATGTCCAGGATGTCACTCTGTATACCCATGTACGAGACAAAGATCCTCCCGTATAGACCGAACAGACTGTTGGGGCAAGTGCTTCGAGCGAGTAGCACCTGTGAAGGCCAGAATGGCGTTCCAGGGGGTGGGTATAGCAAGCACCACGCCCGGCCGACTTTGTCTCCCCAGTGACGATACTTAAATACAGCACCAGGTACTCATTTGAGGCTGAGTCAATATCGGGGAGGCCCAGGACCGGTTCTGATAATCGAGTCTCCGGATTTGCAGCACAGCGCGCTAACCGCTACACTACCGCTTCACACACACACACACACGTGCACGCACACACAAAGACAACGATCCCCCGTTTCGCCTTAACACACGCGCACACAAACACGCGCACACACACACACATGCATGTGCTCTCGGGGAGGGGTGCCGCGTGGTTGATGGCCACGCGATGCGAGCGCGTGGACGTGGCGATGACGACCGCCACGGTGAGGAGGACTCACCCCGGTGAAGACTCACCCCGGTGAGGAGGACTCACCCCGGTGAAGACTCACCCCAGTGAGGAGGACTCACCCCGGTGAGGAGGACTCCCCCCGGTGAAGACTCACCGGTGAGGACTCCCCCCTGTGAAGACTCACCGGTGAGGACTCACCCCGGTGAGGACTCACCGGTGAGGACTCCTCCTTGTGAAGACTCACCGGTGAGGACTCCCCCCGGTGAGGATTCACCGGTGAGGACTCCCCCCTGTGAAGACTCCCCCCTGTGAAGACTCACTGGTGAGGACTCACCGGTGAGGACTCACCGGTGAGGAGGACTCCCCCCTGTGAAGACTCACCGGTGAGGACTCCCCCCGGTGAGGACTCACCGGTGAGGACTCCCCCCGGTGAGGACTCACCGGTGAGGACTCCCCCCTGTGAAGACTCACCGGTGAGGACTCCCCCCGGTGAGGACTCACCGGTGAGGAGGACTCCCCCCGGTGAGGACTCACCGCCTCGATGCCCATCGCTTTCATCTGGTTGGCCCGCTTCTCAGCCAGCGAGAGGTACTTCTTTGGGTCGGACAGCGCATCCACGAAATCTGGAACACGCGGCAATGCCATCGCCAAACAGCGTTACCACGGCGACGCCACCGCCCAACAGCGTTGCCATGGCAATGCCACCACCCAACAGCGTTACCATGGTAATGCCACCGCCCAACAGCGTTACCACAGCGACGCCACCGCCCAACAGCGTTACCACGGCGACGCCACCACCCAACAGCGTTACCATGGTAATGCCACCGCCCAACAGCGTTACCACGGTAATGCCATCGCCACCCAGGCTGGTCCCGTGGCTCAGCTCACACGCGACGACCGCGACGTCGCCCCTCCGGCCCGCGCCCCCCACGTCCGCGACCGCTTGTGCCCTCACCTCCCAGCCCGTCGGGGACGTAAGTCTTGAGGACGATGTCGCAGAAGACGGTGGGCAAGGAGAGGTGCTTGTTGCCCTCGTTGCGGAGGGAGATGTGCCGGTAGCCCGTCTGCAGGCCGTCCAGCGGCAGGATGCGCTGCCCGATGAGCTTGTTGTTCTCGTCATACACGGCGATCCGCAGCACCGCCAGGTCCGGCAGGATCACCTGCGCTCACGCGGAGGGATCAAACCCACAGAGTTCCGGTGGCCGGGGGGGGGGGGGGGGCGAGTCCGTACAGAGGGCATTCATCTAGCTGCTGCGCACGAGCAGATTTCATCGCTCCAACTCCGCGGTGGACGTGCTCTTGGGTGCGTTCCTCTCTCCGTCGTGAGTCTCGACCGCCGGCCGCCGTGTACCCCCTCGGCGTGATGTGAGCGACCCCGGGGCCCCGCCAGCGACCCAGGGGCCCCACGAGCGACCCCGGGGCCCCGCCAGCGACCCAGGGGCCCCACGAGCGACCCAGGGGCCCCACGAGCGACCCAGGGGCCCCACGAGCGACCTCGGGGCCCCGCCAGCGACCCAGGGGCCCCACGAGCGACCCAGGGGCCCCACGAGCGACCCAGGGGCCCCGCCAGCGACCCCGGGCCCCGCATGTATGCGGTTTACTCTGGTATTTTTATTATTATTATTATAGCTGTGGGAGGAAACTGAAAAACCCAGATGGAAACCCCGTGGAGAACAGAGGCGGGTGGGAGTGAGAGAGAGAGAGAAGGTGCAAACTCTACGCAGAGAGGCGCTCCCAAAGCGGGAATCGGAAACCCAGGGTCGTCCTTCTTAGCTGCCGAGCCACAAGAGCGCGACCGCCGCGCGCTGCCACCACCCACCCTGTCGGAGGGGGGGCGGGGCAGGGGGGGGGGGGGTGCCCACCTTGCGGAAGACGAACGGCTCCTCGCTGTAGGCCGGGTTGAGGCCGTTGTTGAGGACCATGCGTGTTCGGAACTCCTTGCGGATGGTGTCCGTGGGCAGGCCGTACATGTCCACCTCCACGTACGTGCCCACCTTCTTGTCCGACAGGAACTGTCCCGAGATGATCTGTCCAGTAACCACGCACAATCCCCCCCGCCCCCCCCCCGCGGCCCACGCACGCAGGGTCAAACCTCGCAAGCCGTCCACCCGTCACTTTGTGCACTCCGTGTGGAGATAAAGATCCCCCCTCCCCCGTGTAGCCTTAACCAGACTGTTGGGGCAAGTGCTGTTAGCGAGCACCTACGGAGACCGGCAACGGCACACCAGGGGGTGGGTGGCCAACAGCACGCCGGTCCGCCTTTGTCTCCCAAGTGGCGATATTTACACGCCGCACCAGGTACTTATTCGAGGCTGTGTCGATCTAGGGGAGGCCCAGGACCAGCATCTGTTGATTGTCACTGGTGTTGGCCGTGAGCTGGAATCGAACCCGGGTAGGCAGGTTCGTAGCACAATGCGCCAACCACTACGCTACACGCAGTGACACATACAAAGACAAAGATCCCCCATATAACCTTAACATACTGTTGGGGCAAGTGCTGTTAGCGAGCACCTATCGAGGCTGCATTTATTTTCCTAGTGGCAATGTTTACACATCGCACCAGGCAATCATTTGAGGCTAAGTCGACCGGTTCAAATGATCGTCACCGGTGTCTGCTGTGAGCACGTTTCAGCGAGAATCAAACTTGGGTCGTTAGGTTCGTACCGCTTCACTACTGCACCCCCATACTGCGACACACACACACATTGACACCCATGAAGTGACACCCAGTGACACACACCGTGACACGCAGTAACACATTACTCAGTGACACACACCGTGACACACACGGTGACACATTACTCAGTGACACACACCGTGACCACGCAGTAACACATTACTCAGTGACACACACCGTGACACACACGGTGACAGATTACTCGGTGACACACACCGTGACCATGCAGTGACGCATTACTCAGTGACACACACCGTGACACACACGGTGACACACACGTGACACATTACTCAGTGACACACACCGTGACACACACAGTGACACATTACTCAGTGACACACACCGTGACACACGCAGTGACCCACTACTCAGCGGCACCCGGTGGACACTCGCCTGCACGGAGCACGTGGCGGCGATGACGCCGTCCACCGGCGTCTCAGAGAACGGGTCGAAGGTGCGGTCGGGGCGGCGCATGAAGTCCGGCTTCAGTAGAAACCTGCAGCAGGCCGCACACGGCGGTTACACCGGGACAGGGGTCTGCCCGTGCAGCCTACGCGCACCCTCGGGGCAAGCGCGGTCAGCGAGCACCTATTGGGGCGACAACAATGGTGGTGGTATTGGCGGTGGGGTGCACAGGTGGCGCATCAGCCGGTCATCTCGGTCAGTCGACCCGTGGCACCTGGGTCTGCCCCGTGACCTCCTGCCGGCGGGCGTTCGACACTTCACGTGGCCTCAACGTGCACACGGCCTGGCACAAGCGTCGTGGTGACGTCACCGCCACTTAGTGGCGATTGGCGGTTGTTGTTGTTGTTGGCATTGGTGGTGGAATAGGGAGCCGGGGTGTAGTAGTTGATAGCGCCCTGCGCTACAAACCCGGCGACCCGAGTTAGATTCCTGCTCATGACCAACACCAGTGTCTAAACCGGTCATGCACCTCCCCTAGGTCGACTCAGCTTTAAATGAGTACTGGGTGTGGTGTGTAAATATCACCACCACGGAGACAAAGGCGGGTAGGCGTGGTGCTGGCCACCCACATGTGCCTGCCGGCCTTCAAAGGTGCTACTCACTAACAGCACTTGCCCCAACAGTCTGTTAAGGCTATATGTGGGATCTTTGGAAGAAGAGGTGGTGATGGTGGTGTTGGTGATGGTGGTGGCGAAGGTGGTTGTGGTCATGTTGGAGGTGGTTGTGGTCATGGTGGAGGTGGTTGTGGTCATGGTGGAGGTGGTTGTGGTCATGGTGGAGGTGGTTGTGGTCATGGTGGAGGTGGTTGTGGTCATGGTGGAGGTGGTTGTGGTTGTTATTCGTTCACTAACCCGCAGGAGCCATTGTACTCAAACTTTCCCTGGTTCAGCTGCATGGCCAGGTCTGGGGAAACAAAGGCATCGATGGCACACGTGGTAACACAAGGTGGTAACACGAGGTGGTAACACAAGGTGGAGACACATGGTGGTGACACAAGGTGATAACACAAGGTGGTAACACAAGGTGGTGACACATGGTGGTGACAAAATATGGGGACACAAGGTGGTAACACAAGGTGGTGACACAAGGTGGGTACACAAGGTGGTAACACAAGGTGGAGACACAAGGTGGAGACACAAAGTGGGGACACAAGGTGGAGACACAATGTGGAGACACAAGGTGGTAACACAAGGTGGAGACACAAGGTGGAGACACAAAGTGGGGACACAAGGTGGTAACACAATGTGGAGACACAAGGTGGTGACACACGGTGTAGACACAAGGTGGAGACACAATGTGGTAACACATGGTGGAGACACAATGTGGTGACACAAGGTGGAGACACAAGGTGGAGACACAAGGTGGAGACACAAGGTGGTGACACAATGTGGTAACACAAAGTGGAGACAAGGTGGAGACACAAGGTGGTAACACAAGGTGGAGGCACAAGGTGGAGACACAAGGTGGTAACACAAGGTGGTGACACAAGGTGGTAACACAAGGTGGAGACACAAGGTGGTGACACAAGGTGGTGACACAAAGTGGTAACACAAGGTGGAGACACAAGGTGGAGACACAAGGTGGTGACACAAGGTGGTAACACAATGTGGAGACACAAGGTGGTGACACAAGGTGGAGACACAATGTGGTAACACATGGTGGAGACACAATGTGGTGACACAATGTGGAGACACAAGGTGGTGACACAATGTGGTGACACAATGTGGTAACACAAGGTGGAGACACAATGTGGTGACACAATGTGGAGACACAAGATGGTGACACAAGGTGGTAACACAAGGTGGAGACACAAGGTGGAGACACAAGGTGGTAACACAACGGGTCAGGAGAGTGAGTGGAGCTGAGTGGCGCGGGCGAGGCGAGTTGGAGGTGGCGGCACGACCGGCTCACCGGGGCTCTGGAAGTTGAGCGACACCATCTGGCAGCCGGCGTTCCAGAAGATCTGCGGCATGTAGTTGGAGGAGTCGACACGGCCTCCCTTGGGGTAGATGCGACTCATCTGCCGCTTGTTGTAGCTGACGGGCGCGTTAAGGGGCCATGGTGAAGTTGACCCCACACACATTTCATTCTGACCTGGTGCTGACCTCCCACTCACTCGGATTTCATTCTGACCTGACCCTGACCTCCCACTCACTCCGATTTCATTCTGACCTGGTGCTGACCTCCCACTCCAATTTAATTCGGCCAGCGACGACATCACTGGGGTGGACAACAATGGAGCACGCTGTCGCCATGAACCCGGCCGCCTGAGTTTGATTCCTGGGCACGGCTACTATCGGTGGTGGGTGACATCAGAACTAGTCTGGGGATTCCCCCCCCCCCCCCCGCCCCCCCCCCCCCCCCCGCGTCACCAACCCGTGCAACCCTCCACCGCTGACGGCCATGGCTCGGCCCTTCATCCAGCAGTGGACCGCTGTGCTTTTTCCCCCGATAAAGTTAAATATATATTTTTTGCGGCGTCGCTTTCTCTTCTCATGGCGCACGACGCTGGGCACAGCGCGTTGGGCGTAGCTCCTCCCCGAGCGACGCCGCGAGCATTCTTTACGTCCTCTGGTCGAGGCGGCGCTTTGCCACCATCCGGCCGATGCGCCCCCCCCCCCCCATCGCTGGAGTTCCACGAGCTCTACCACAAGATCTGCCCTCGCGCCGAGATCGAGGAGTTCTTCAGGAAGCTGTGAGATCATCTCGGGCACACCCACCGCCCCCTACCCCACATCCACCACACCCCGCACCCCCCTCCCCCGCAATATTAAGTGGAGTGGGGAGCCTGCCGGATTCGGACCGCGATAACCTCCGCCGGCGACGACCGGTGGCAAATGCGCGGCCACTGGGGGTCACCGACCCGGAACTCCGTTTCCTCTACCCTGGGGCTTCTCCGAGGGTTACCGCGACTCACCGGGGAGGAAGGGGGGGATGGTGAAGGATACTTGACGAACTCAATGGGGTGAGTCTTGAGGTAGCCGAGCCCCACCGACTCGCTGAACGACGACATGTTGTGGTGGATGTTCCGCTCTGCGGGGCACCCGGGCACGCATGAACACACTCACATGTACACACACGTACAGACACGCGCACACACACGCACACACATGTACACACATGTACAGACACGCGCACACACACGCACACTCATGTACACACACGTACAGACACGCACACACACACACATCTCTCTCTCTGCTCACCCTCGGCAACGTCGAAGCCCTGGAACTTGACGGGCTGTGCGTAGTTGACCATGGCCGACAGGTAGGGGTGGATCTTGGTGGTGCCACCCACGTACTTGTAGGTGGAGATGAAGGCCTGCTCGTCCTCCACCGACACGCAGGCCTGCCCCAGCGATAACCACGGCAGCACAACGTCACACAGACAGGGCCACACTGCCTCACACGGACAGAGTGACACTGCGTCTCACCGCATCTCTCCCCATTCTCAAGCTGTCTCTCCCCCCCTCTCTTCCCCCCTCTCTTCCCCCCTCTCTTCTCCCCACTCCCCATCTCTACCCATCTCTACAAATCTCTGCACATATCTACAAATCTCTCCTCGTCTCTCCCTGTCTCTCCCCATTCTCTAGCCGTCTCTCCCCCTCTCTTCCCCCCTCTCTTCCCCCCACTCCCCGTCTCTCACCATCTCTACAAATCTCTCCCATCTCCCTGTCTCCCCATTCTCTAGCTCTCTCTCCCCATTCTCAAGCCGTCTCTCCCCCTCTCTTCCCTCCACTCCCCGTCTCTACCCATCTCTACAAATCTCTGCACATATCTACAAATCTCTCCTCGTCTCTCCCCGTCTCTCCCCATTCTCTAGCCGCCTCTCTCCCTCTCTTCCCCCCTCTCTTCCCCCCACTCCCCGTCTCTCACCATCTCTACAAATCTCTCCCATCTCCCTGTCTCCCCATTCTCTAGCTCTCTCTCCCCATTCTCAAGCCGTCTCTCCCCCTCTCTTCCCCCCACTCCCCGTCTCTACCCATCTCTACAAATCTCTGCACATATCTACAAATCTCTCCTCGTCTCTCCCTGTCTCTCCCCATTCTCAAGCCGTCTCTCCCCCTCTCTTCCCCCCTCTCTTCCCCCCACTCTCCGTCTCTCACCATCTCTACAAATCTCTCCCATCTCCCTGTCTCCCCATTATCTAGCTCTCTCTCCCGATTCTCTAGCTCTCTCTCCCCATTCTCTAGCCGTCTCTCCCCCTCTCTCCCCCCCTCTCTTCCCCCCACTCCCCGTCTCTCACCATCTCTACAAATCTCTCCCATCTCCCTGTCTCCCCATTATCTAGCTCTCTCTCCCGATTCTCTAGCTCTCTCTCCCCATTCTCTAGCCGTCTCTCCCCCTCTCTCCCCCCTCTCTTCCCCCCACTCCCCGTCTCTCACCATCTCTACAAATCTCTCCCATCTCCCTGTCTCCCCATTATCTAGCTCTCTCTCCCGATTCTCTAGCTCTCTCTCCCCATTCTCTAGCCGTCTCTCCCCCTCTCTCCCCCCCTCTCTTCCCCCACTCCCCGTCTCTCACCATCTCTACAAATCTCTCCCATCTCCCTGTCTCCCCATTATCTAGCTCTCTCTCCCCATTCTCTAGCTCTCTCTCCCCATTCTCTAGCTCTCTCTCCCCATTCTCTAGCTCTCTCTCCCCATTCTCTAGCTCTCTCTCCCTATATCTCCCCATCTCTTCCCCCTCCGCCTCTCTCCCCCTCTCTCCAACATCTCTCTCCCGATCTCTCTCCATCTCTCTCCATCTCTTCGCTAGGCCACTGGGCTGTCCTGCGTGGCGTGCCCGGGTTCCCGCGCGCCCTTCACAAAGGCGGCATGGGTGCTCTCTCACCTTCTTCTCGTGATCCGCCTCCTCCATGACCTGGCAGCAGTCAAGGTGAAGAGAAACACCCAGGTGAGTATCACAGGGAGACCACTCTCACCTCACCTGGTGAGACGGGGCTACAGTGTGATGCAGGTGAGGGTGAGCGAGTGACGCAGGTGAGGGTAATAGTGAGCCAGGTGAGGGTGAGCGTAACCTAGGTGAGGGTGATACAAGTGAGGGTGAGCCAAGTGAGGGTGAGAGTAACTCAGGTGAGGGTGAGCGTGACCCAGGTCAGGGTGAGCGTGACCCAGGTGAGGTTGAAAGTGACCCAGGTGAGGGTGAGAGTGACCCAGGTTAGGGTGATGCAGGTGAGGGTGAGCATGACCGAGGTGAGGGTGATGCAGGTGAGAGTGAGCGTGACCCAGGTGAGGGTGAGCATGACACAGGTGAGGGTGGGCGTGACCCAGGTGAGGGTGATGCAGGTGAGGGCGAGAGTCACCCAGGTGAGGGTGATGCAGGTGAGGGTGAGCATGACCCAGGTGAGGGTGATGCAGGTGAGGGCGAGAGTCACCCAGGTGAGCGTGACACAGGTGAGGGTGAGCGTGACCGAGGTGAGGGTGATGCAGGTGAGGGTGAGCGTGACCCAGGTGAGGGTGATGCAGGTGAGGGTGAGGGTAACCCAGGTGAGCATGAGAGTGACCCAGGTGAGGGTGAGCGTGACCTGGATGAGAGTCACCCAGGTGAGGGTGATGCAGGTGAGGGTGAGAGTGACCCAGGTGAGGGTGATGCAGGTGAGGGCGAGAGTCACCCAGGTGAGGGTGATGCAGGTGAGGGTGAGCGTGACCCAGGTGAGCATGAGAGTGACCCAGGTGAGGGTGAGCGTGACGCAGGTGAGGGTGAGCGTGAGCCAGGTGAAGGTGTGAGTAACCTGGATGAGAGTCACCCAGGTGAGGGTGATGCATGTGAGGGTGAGAGTGGCCCAAGTTAGAATGAGTGACCCAGGTGAGGGTGAGCGTGACCTCGACGAGAGTGACCCAGGTGAGGCATCTCACCTTACGGAGGATCACCGACTTGCTGCTGCTCAGGCTGCTGCTGGAGCGTTCCTTGACGATCGCCGCCGCCGCTGCTGCCTCCACCACCGCGGCCGCCACCACCGTCAACTCCGCGCCAAACTTCAGCTCGGGGTGGGCCTCATCCTCCGGCTCGACTGACGTGCGCGCACACCAAGGGGCACGCGCGCGGCGAGGCACCGCCGAGAGTTCAGTTCCCCCGCTTTAGCGACCGCTGAGAGCAGTGGGCGGATCCGAACCGGTCCCGGGGCCTACCGCTAGGTCGAATCGGCCTCGAATCGGTACTCGGGCGTGGTGTGTAAGCATCGCCGCTGTGAAATGAAGGTGGCCAGGTGTGGTGGTCTGCACCCGCGCCCACGTATGCCATACCGGCCTACACAGAGGTGACCGCGACCGCCACTCGCCCTCCAAAAGTCTGTCCAAGGCTGCACAAGGGAGCTTTGTGTTTGCGCGGGGACCTTCATTACTGTGAGCAGGCCCGGGTAAAGCTGCATGGCAAAGAGTTGGAGCCATGTCCTGTTCACCTTGGGGTGTGACGGGGATGTGTACGAGTACGTGTGTGTGTGTGAGTAGGTGTATGTGTCTGGCAAAACAACCCCCTACCTCCTTGTGGTGCCGGACGGGCAACGCTGTCGTGGGCAATGCCGTGGGGGGAGGGCCAATTCCGATTTGTCTTTCCCCTCATGGCGTCTGTAACCACCACAGTGGCCAAACAGGGGCTCTGGACAGGTACGAGGCTGGTAACCCCTCCACCTTCAATGAATTACCACGAAACCACGACCACAAAATTTAACTAATAAGCTTGTGCCGGAAAGCCCCGGGGGGACAGGCGTCTGTGACGTCTCCTGGCCAAACCCCAATTGGCGGAGCCAGGAGACTGAATTTCTCGAGGCTCCTCCAGAAACAACAAAAAACCACTACGTGTGGCCGCGAGGAATGTTCAAACGCGCACTGCGGAGGAGAGGCTGCCACTCCTCTGTCAGGAGCTGGACCGGTACTGCCTGGATCTCTGTGGTATTCAGGAGGTCCGGTGGACCGGTTCTGGCTCCTGCCACCATGAGGGGTGGACAGTCCTCTACTCGGGGCAGCAGACTGCCAAACAACAGGGTGTGGCTCTTTTTCTGAATGAAAGAATGAAGGGAGCATGGGAGCGTGGCGTCGAGGTGTGGGAAGCTGTAATCCCCAGGCTACTTTGGGCTTACCTTCTCATCAACCAGAGGCGAGGAGTGGTGGTCATGGTTACTTATGCCCCCACTGAAGACGGACATTCGTGGAGGGATGCAGGCAAGGCCGATGAGTCAGATGCCTTATATGACCTCCTGTCACAGGTGCGAGCTAAAGTGGCCCCTCGGGATTGAGTCATCTTGTTGGTTGACTTTAATGCCCGAGTTGGTCATGATGCTGGCACCTGGTCTGGAGTAATTGGAAGGCATGGGCCAGAGCAGCTCAATAACAACGGCAGGAGGCTGCTAGATTTTTGTGCAGCCCATGGGCTTGTAATTACAAACACGCTGTTCCGGCATCGGCGCATCCACACCACATTATGGATGCATGCCGGGTCCAAGCAAGAACATCTGCAGGACTACATAGTGATGGAACAGCGGATGCGGGCCCATGTCCTTGACACCAGAACCTACCGTGGAGCTGATCTGCCCACTGACCATCGAGCGGAGCGCCGGGTGTGTGATTACGTGTGTGTGTGTGAGTACGTGTGTGTGTGAGTACGTGTGTGTGAGTACGTGTGTGTGAGTACGTGTGTGTGAGTACGTGTGTGTGTGTGAGTACGTATGAGTACGTGTGTGTGAGTACGTGTGTGTGTGTGAGTACGTGTGTGTGTGAGTACGTGTGTGTGTGAGTATGTATGAGTACGTGTGTGTGTGTGTGAGTACATGTGTGTGTGAGTACGCACGAGTACGTGTGTGTGTAAGTGTGTGTGTGTGAGTACCGACCGGTCTCTCCCTCATCCTCCGCCTCCTCCTCCAGGATGCTAGCCTGAGCCATGGGGTCTCCCTCCGTCAACAGGCAGAACGCCTCCAACTGCTCTGCATCATCATCACCATCAACACACCGCCGCCATCACCAATATTAACATCACCATCGGCTCCATGAACGTCATAGCCATCATCATCACCGACATCGTCGCTATCACACTGCTGCCGTCATCATGAACATCGTCACCGTTGTAGGTCGTCAGCATCGCCATCAGTGTCGACACCACTATCATGACCAACACAATTATCATCATCACAACCGTCATCCAGTCAATAATCATGACCATCACCACCACGATCACGATGACAGGGACCACCTCCGCCGCACGCGTCACACTTACTGGACTCCACCTCAGGCCGCAGGCGCTTGTTCTTGATGAGGATTTTGTAACGGAGGTCGTTGGGCGAGGGCAGAGGTCGCCCCGGCTCCAGCTGCGCAGTGAGGACAACGACGACAACAACAACAACAATAAAAACGACGACAATGACAATCTTCTTTGGTTCTTTCGATAAAGTCACCAGACAGTCTCGTCCCTTCATCTGATGAAGGCCGCTTGTGTTGTGGCCGAAACGTCGTGAGAATTTTATTCTGTTATTTTATTTTATCTATTTATTATTTTATTCTCATTCTGCGTGACTTTACCGAAAGAACCAAAGAAGATGAATCCTTGCAGTCACGAAAGCTTTAAATCGACAATGGCAATACCAACAACAGCAATAACGACAACAGCAAGGGCAAAAACGACGGCGTGGGCTTCACCACCAACACATGGAGGGCCCGGCCGCACGCACGCGTACCCACATGTACCCACGCACACACGCACACACGCACACACACACGCACGCATGGCGTGCGTGGCGGTCGCCCCGTCCAAGCGGTATCCGGGTCACGACCACGGTCGCCCCGCCATCTCACCGGGTGTCCTTCAAGCGGCTCCTTGAGGAGGAAATCTCCAAAGATCTCCTCGCAGTAGCGCGCCATCTTGTACTGCTGTGGCTTGCTGCGGGGGGGGGGGGCACGCAATAAGACAGCGACGCGGGCGTCACACACAGACACACACGGACATCACACACAGACACACACGGACGTCACACACAGACACACGCGGGCATCGCCACACAGACACACACGGACGTCACACACAGAGATACACGTGGGCATTACACACAGACACACGTGGGCATTACACACAGACACACACGGACGTTACACACAGACACACACGGACGTCACACACAGAGATACACGTGGGAATTACACACAGACACGCGCGGGCGTCACACACAGACACGCATGGGCATCACACACACAGACGTCACACACAGACACACGCGAGCATCACCACACACACACAGATACACGCGGACGTCACCAATAGCAACAACAACAACCGCCATTCGCCACTAAGTGGCGGTGACATCACCACAATGCTTGTGCCAGGCTATGTGCACCCTGAGGCCACGTGAAGTGTCGAACGCCCGCTGGCAGGAGGTCACGGGGCAGACCCAGGTGCCACGGGTCGACTGACTGAGATGACTGGCTGATGCACCACCTGTGCCACCTACTGTGCCAACCTGCTGTGCTTTAGCCACCCGGCGCTCCACTCGTTGTTGTGAGCGTCGCTCCTCCGCCCTCTGTTGTTGTTGGAGGGCGACTACCTCCAACTGCCCAGTAGCATCCTTCATGAGCCTCCTCCACAGAGGCCGATCTTGACACCGCTGGTACCAGTCATCGGCAAGTCCACTCAGCTCCACGTCCTCCTGTACCACATCACTCCATCTCTTCTCTAGCCCGTGCCGCGCTTGTTTAGCCCCCTCGATCCAGCCGAACAAAAGCTGTTTCGGCATGCGGTGGCTGGGCATGCGGGCTACATGACCCAGCCAACGCAGCCTTGCCTGCCGGAAGAGCTCACCGATGGGACTTTGTCCAGATCTTTCAAGGATTTGTGAGCTCCTCACACAATCCAGCCTGGTTAAACCCAGGATGAATCGTAGGCAGGCCAGCCTAACTGTTTCTAACTGGTGAAGATGTTCCATTAGGGGGGGTCCACGTTTCGCAAGCATAGAGAAGGGAGGGAATGACTGTGGCCGAGAAGACCTGAAGCTTCGTGCGGAGCGACAGACCAGGTAGCTTCCACACAGCATTACGCAACCGATTAAAAGATAATGCCGCCCGAATGATTCAGAGTGAGACCTCTGCTGTTAAACCGGAGCCGGTCATGAGCACACTGCCCAGTTATGGGAAACTCTCCACTCCCTCCACAACTGCCCTATCACCAATTGGATGTTGTGGGGGTGGAGTGTCCGATGGTACAAAATACCCAGGCAGGTGCTTAGTTTTGGTGGGGCTGATGGTAAGGCCTCACACCTCTTAGTGGCAAGCTCCAGGTTCAGCAGCAGCGCCTCGAACTCCTCCTCTGAGTGAGCAGCAATTACCAGATCATCGGCATACATAACGTGGTTGAGCAATAGGGAGCCATCCCTTGACCGCACCCGGGCATCGATCAGCCTCCCATTATATCTGTACCATATGGAGATTCCCACGGTACAGCTATTGAAGGCTTCACAAACTACGTGGTCGAAATAGATATTAAATAATGTGGGAGCCAGAGGACATTCCTGTCGCACCCCAAGGTGTACAGGGAATGGCTTCATTCTGGCCACGTAGTTTTTCCTGGGCCTGCATACCCACCTTAATGATCATGAGCAGAGGGTCAGGAACTCCGAAAGCACGAAGAACATCCCAGAGCCTAGGCCTACTGATGGTACCATAGGCCTTGACGAGGTCAATAAAGCAGAGATGCAGGTTTTGTTGGAATTCCCTACACCTCTGTTGTAGCAAACGGACAGAAAATATGGCATCTGTGCAGGACCGCCCTTTCCTGAAACCGCATTGGGGTTCCACAAGCCTCTCCTCAGCGTGCCTAGCAAGGCGATGTTGAATAATCCTTGCCAGGACCATTCCCGGCACACTGATGAGTGACATGCCCCTGTAGTTGTTACAGTCTGTGCGGCCCCCCTTCTTAAAGAGGGAGACCACCAGGGCATCCTTCCAATCCTGCGGAACCCAACCAGTAGTCCAGACTGTTGTTATGATGTCATGTAGAGCAGTCTGTGCACAAACGCCACCCTCCCTCAGCATTTCGTTTGGGAGATCATCTCTGCCGGTGCCTTTCCTGGTCTCAGACTCTGGATCACCTTCAGTACTTCCTCAACGGATGGCACCTCAGCCAGCCGCTCACAGGGGGTGACTTCCTCTTCAAATATTTGAGACACCGCAGCCTCGGCAGGGTCATCCCCACTTTGTCATCCAGGCTGAGGGATGTACCATCCCCCAGGACCTCACAGAAATGATCAGAAAATCTGCAAACCTGTTACTGGTGGTTTGAGATTGATCACCGTTCTTTTTCCTAATGATGACAATAGATGTGGGGCTGCAGGTTACTTTTTTTGATGGAATTAAAGAGCGATTTGTGATCGCGGGCCTTTGAGGCAGACTCCATCTCCTCAGCAACCCGCGACCACCACCCATCCTTGCAGCGCCTCACGGCTCTCCGAACTTCCGAGCGAAGGCTGCCGTAAGCCTCCTCATTCTCCTATGTGGGATGCTGTAGCCGATGAGAGTGGGCCTGTCGCTTTTTCTCAGCCAGCTTGAACACCTCCACTGTCCGTCAGGGTCTCTGGGGAGGTCTGGACCGTGTACCCAAAGCAGCCATTACAGCTGCATGAGCCACAGTCCTATACCTCGCCCATTGCCCCTCGACATCAGGAAAAGTGGGAGATGATGCCAACCCCAGCCGCAAGCGATGATTAAATTCTCGCTTGCAACTTTCATCAGCCATGCCACGAAGGGTTTGAATGGGGTCCTGGGTGTACACCCACCACTGGAGTGGAAGAATGGCAGGCTCATCTTACAGATGACAAGTTGATAGTCAGTGGGCAGATCAGCTCCATGGTTGGTCCTGGTGTCAAGGACATGGGCCCACATCCGCTGTTCTGTCACTATGAAGTCCAGCAGATGTTCTTGCTTGGACCCGGCATGCATCCATCATGTGGTGTGGATGCGCCGATGCCAGAACAGTGTATTGGTAATTACAAGCCCATGGGCTGCACAAAAATCTAGCAGCCTCCTGCCATTGTTATTGAGCTGACCTGGCCCATGCCTTCCAATCACTCCAGACCAGGTACCAGCATCATGACCCAACAAGATGACTACATCCTGAGGGGCCACTTTAGCTAGCACCTGTGACAGGAGGTCATAGAAGGCATTTGATTCATCGGCCTTGCTTGGATCCCTCCACGGATGTTCATCTTCAGTGGGGGCATAAGTAACCACGACCACCACTCCTCGCCTCTGGTTGATGGCAAAGAGCCCAAATAGTCTGGGGCTTACAGCTTAACACACCTCACTGCCACGCTCCCACGTCCCATTCATTATTTTGAGCCACTCCCTGTTGTTTGGCAGTCTCCTGCCCCGAGAAGAGGACTGTCCACCCCTCATTGTGGCAGGCGCCAGAGCCGGTCCACCGGACCTTCTGAATGCCACAGAGATCCAGGCGGTACTGGTCCAGCTCCCGACAGAGGAGTGGCAGCCTCTCCTCCGCAGTGAGCGTTTGAACATTCCTCGTGGCCACACGAAGTGGTTTTTTGTTATTTCTGGAGGAACCCCGAGGGTAAAGATTCAGTCTCCTGGCTCCACCAAATGGGGTTTGGCCAGGAGACATCATTCTGTCCCACCAGGTGCCTCCGGCACAAGCTTATTTCTTACATTTTGTCATCGTAGTTTAGTGGTAATTAATTGAAGGTGGAGGGGTTACCAGCCCCTTGCACCCATCCTGAGCCCCTATTTGGCCGCTGTGGAGGTTACAAATGCCATGAGGGGAAAGGCCATCGGAATTGGCCCTCCCCCCACAGCACTGCCCACGACAGCGTTGCCCGTCCGGCACCACGAGGAGGTAGGACCACACACATGGGCGGGTGTCACACACACCCGTAGCCTGCGAGATTAGCGAGTAGAGGTTCTAGGGGGCAGTGGTTCTAGAGGACGGAGGTTCTAGAGGAGGGAGGTTGTTGTTGAGGGCGCCTGCACCTGCAGTGGTTCTCGAAGGACAGGATAACCGGGTAGATGGACGTTACGAACGCCGTCTCCTTGATGGCCTGGATCACCTCCTGTGGGGAGAACGTGCACACAGGGGACACAAACACACGCACACGTGCACACACAAAAATACAAAGAGAAAGATCCCCAGTGTAGCCTTAACAGACTGCTGGAGCAAGTGCTGTTAGCGAGCACCTATGAAGGCCAGTACGGTACACGAGGGGGTGGGTGGCTAGCACCACGCCCGGCGGCTTCTGTCTCCCCAGTGGCGATGTTTACACACCGCACCAGGTATTCATTTGTGCTTGAGTCGACCTAGGGGAGGTCTAGGACCGGTTCAGATAATCGTCACTGGTGTTGGCCGTAAACGGGAATCAAATTCGGGTGGCCGGGTTTGTAGTGCAGCGCGCTAACCGCTACTACACTACCGCTCGCTCCTCACACACACACGTGTACACACACACATACACGTGTACACACACACGTGTACACACACACACGCGCTGCGCTGCGGGGTCCACGTGTGCGTTGACGCTGTGCCCCACGGTACCTTGAAGAGGATGTCGGTGCACATGGCTTTGCCGTGCGTGATGATTGGCTCCTGGTCCTCTCCCTTCCCATCCCAGCAGTCCAGCTCCACGCACCTGCACACAGAGTAACACGGGGAACACACGGGGAGAGATATTAACTACCTCGCTTGGTATACAGGAGGTTGTGGGTTCGATCTTGACCCTGACGCCTGCTTTATATTTGGAGCTTGCATGTCTCTCCCTCTCTCTCCCCATGGTCGCGTGGATTTTTCTCTGGTTCCTCCGGTTTTACCGTCGAAAATTTAGAATCAACAGCAACACGTTTAGATTATTTGGCTGCTATACATTTCCTACTGATGATAGTCCATTTCGTTGAGCTATCATTCGTGATGGCCAGGGTCGCTTCTGAAAAATAAGCTATATATAGCTCAGTGGACTTTACCCTGGTAATAAAATAAAAATCTAGTTCAGCAGTTTACATATACACATGTAGCCTATAGAAGAGCCGGTCAGTCATAGGCAGAGGAGAAGAGGAAGGCCTTGAGCCAGGTCTTGCGAAGGGGCCGAGAGCCGACAGCATGGACGGCAGTGGGGGGGGGGGGGGGGGGAGTGGATGACGTTGACTCGGGGATGTTCGACAAGAGGCCTCGGGTTGCTGGATCGGACATAATCATTCGGACAGAGGGGCGCATGTGCTGACCGCGCTCGCTAATCACACTGCGTGGCGACGGCGGAGGCCCTTGCCAGTAGCCGTTTCGGTGGCCGTGTTTTTGGCCTGTGTCAGCGGCCGTGTCGGTGGCCGTGTTGATGGCCCTTGTCAGTGGGCCGTGTCGGTGGGCCATGTCGGTGGCCGTGTCGGTGGCCGTGTCGGTGGCCTTGTCGGTGGCCATGTCGGTGGATGTGTTGGTGGCCTGTGTCGGGGGCCGTGTCGGTGGGCCTTGTCGGTGGGCCTTGTCGGTGGCCTTGTCGGTGGCCTTGTCGGTGGCCGTGTTGATGGCCCTTGTCAGTGAGCCGTGTCGGTGGGCCATGTCGGTGGCCGTGTCGATGGATGTGTTGGTGGCCTGTGTCGGTGGTTGTGTCGGTGGGCCTTGTCGGTGGGCCTTGTCGGTGGCCTTGTCGGTGGCCTTGTCTGTGGGCCTTGTCGGTGGCCATGTCGGTGGGCATTGTCGGTGTGCCTTGTCGGTGGGCCTTGTCAGTGGGCCTTGTCGGTTTTCTTGTCGGTGGACCTTGTCGGTGGGCCTTGTCGGTGGCCATGTCGTTGGGCCTTGTCGGTGGCCATGTCGGTGGGCGTTGTCGGTGGGCCTTGTCGGTGGCCGTGTCGGTGGATGTGTTGGTGGCCTGTGTCGGTGGGCCTTGTCGGTGGCCGTGTCAGTGGGCCGTGTCGGTGGGCTGTGTCAGTGGGGCGTGTCGGCAGGGGCCTCACCTGCAGCCGGCCAGCAGCACCTGACGGTACATCTCCACCGAGGACTTGCCCCCGAACTGGCGGCCCACGAGGTAGGTGTTGTGCGAGGAGTTGATGTAGTAGTGCGACAGCGGCTGCTCCATGTCCTGGTAGAGCTCCAGGCGGTCGAGGAAGACGGGCGCGTTGTCATCGCACATGAGGTAGCGGCACAGCCCGTCGTACGACAGCCGCCCTGTGGGGAGCGACAGTCGGCAGCCACCATAATGACGTGATGCAGCCACGCGACTCGGGTATACAACACGACCACGTGACACAGCCACGTGACTCAGGTACACAACGCGACCACGTGACATGACCACGTGACATGACCACGTGACACAGCCACGCGACGTGGCCACGTGACCACGCGACGCGGCAAGACTCATCCCAATTACCGATCACATTTACATGACTATAACCTTAACAGACTGTTGGAGCGAGTGCTGTTCGCGAACAGCTATAAAGGCCGGCACGGCACACGAAGGGGTTGGTGGGTCTACACCACACCCAACCGCTTTTGTCTCCCCAATGCTGTTTACAAACCACAACTGATATTCATTTAAGGCCGAGTAGACCAAGGAGTGGCCCCAGGACCGGTTCAGAAATTCGTCACCGATGTTGGCCGTAAGTGGGACTCCAACTCGGGTAGCTGGGTTTGTTGCAAAGCACTCTAACCACCGTGCTTCCCACACACAATAAGACAAAGTAAAAGATTCCCGTATAGCCTGAACAGACAGTTGGGGCAAGTGCTGTTAGCGAGCACCTATGAAGGCCGGCACGGCACACGAGGGGGTGGGTGGCCAACACCACGCCCGGCCACCTTTGTCTTCTCAGTGGCGATGTTTATACACCGCACCAGGTACTCATTTGAGGCTGAGTCGACCTAAGGGAAGCCCAGGAGCGGTTCAGATAATCGTTACTGGTTTTGGCCACAAGCGGGAATTCAACTCGGGTCGCCAGGTTCGTAGTGCAGCGCGCTAACCGCTAGACTACCGCTCCCCACACACTAACACATACGCCTACACGCGTACACACGTATGTAGTCGGACACAAACTCCCACACCACACATGCACGTACACACAAACCCCCCCCCCCTCCTACATCGCTACAGAGCTGACACCACAACAGGCATACTGCAGGGAACAACGAGATGCCGCTCCTCAATGAGACAATCCCCACCGTTTAAGATCGGGAAAATATTGTCGAACATAACGAGCTTGCAGGACATTCACACCGCATTAGCAGGGATAAAAAATATATTTCTGCGCGGGTCACTTGGCGATTTGCGTTGAAAAACCTTTGAGCACTGATCATTCAGCGGCAGCGGGCCTCATTACGGAGTTTATCGTCTCCGGCCCGTACACCCGCCACAGCCAACGCTGACCAAGGAGTCCTCGCAAAACAGCTTTGCTCACCGCCGGCAGGTCGCGGAGTCTCTCTGTCCCAAACGGAGCCTCTCTCTGCGGGCTCGAGCGAGATGTGGAGGCTGGGATGACGAGATGACGGTGATGATGATGAGAGGGATGGATGAGAGGGATGATGAGAGGGATGAGGAGGAGCGGACCCCCAAGACGCCGTGCCGTCCGTGCGAATGAGAGGGCGGGGGATACGAGGTTTCCGCACTTCGTGTCTCTGCGGCACAGGCGTCTCCGCTGTAGCGAACATTTAAAGCACACGAAACGTTCGCCAAAGTGCCGAGTCAACGTTCGCTCGGTGTATGTGGGGTGGGTGGGGGGGGGCCGCTCATTCTCCTGTGCTGCCCCCACAGTCTGGAAGTCCCTTCCCACCCCCACCCCAGCCGTCCGTGCTGTTGGCTCCCTAAGCCCCCCGTTTATATCCCGGCTCAACGCCTCCCTCCCTCCTCCTCGAGGCCATACGAGCGGCCGCTTCTGCCTCCACAAAGATAACGTCTGGAGAGCGCCGTGTCAATCCATGTCGCAATGACTGCGCGTACAAACACACACACACACACATACCGTGGCGTGATTGGACACGCACACCGCGAAGCGCTTTGGAGCAGCCACCACTGGCGTCAGCGTGCCCGATCATACCCCCGGCCCGATCGTGCCCCCGGTCCGATCGTACCCCCGGTCCGATCGTACCCCCGGTCCAATCGTACCCCCGGTCCGATCGTACCCCCGGCCCGAATGTACCCCCGGTCCGATCATACCCCCGGTCCGATCGTACCCCCGGCCTGATCGTACCCCCGGTCCGATCGCACCCCCGGTCCGATCGTACCCTGGTCACGGAGCTGAGCCTCGGGTTCGTGCACGTCGATGAGCTGCTGCGCCTGGCGTGCGTCGTAGAACGGGTAGAGGATCTCGTTGAGCCGGGGGTCGCGCTGGTGCTGCAGAGCGCACACACACACACACACAGAGGTATTTCACACGTACGGACAGGTGTATTCAGGTGTAGACATACACAAAGAACCCCCACTGTAGCCTGAACAAACTGTTGGGGCAAGTGCTGTTAGCGAGCAGCACCTATGAAGGGCGACACAGTGGCCAACGAGGTGGTGCGTGGCCAGCACCACGCCCAGTCGCCTTTGTCTTCCCAGTGGCGATGTTTACTACACACCGCACCAGGTACTCAGTTCGACATAGAAGAGACTCGTGTCGCCGGATTCATAGCGCAGCACGCTAACCGCTGCACCTCCGCTCCCCAAGTACACACACACAGGTGTGTAGTGTAAATACAGGTGTGTGTACTACTACACACACAATTTTGTGTGTGCTACAACACACACAGGTTTGTGTGTGCTACAACACACACAGATTTGTGTGTGCTACAACACACACAGATTTGTGTGTGCTACTAGTACACACACAGGTGTGTAGTAGTACACACACAGATTTGTGTGCTAATACACAGGTGTGTGTACTACTACTACACACCTGTGTCACCGCGCATTGCCCACCCCCCCCCCCCCCTCCCCCCGTGGTTGACGTCCGAGTGTTACCGACTCCGAGCCACCACCGAGGATGGGACGCGGAGCGCCGGGCTGGCGACTGTCACGACGACCACGACACGCACGGGCACAGGGATCAGCGCTGGGGCTGCTGCTGCTGCTGCTGCATGCGGGACGACACGAAGCGACGGGGGACACGGGGGACACGGCGTGACCAGGTACGCGGGAACGACGGGGGAGGGGCGGGGAGACGAAGCTCTAAGGGGAGACGGAGACGGGGGCCACTGGACGGGGTTGCAGGTCAGGGTCACGGGGAGTACGAGGAGGAGGGCGTCTGGCGGGAGCAGCGATGGCGTGAAATGACAAGGAGGTCCTGGCGCGAGGAGTTGTCCCCCGGGAGCGCCGCGCCCCCCACAGCTCTCTCCCCGCCAACCACGCGCGAGCTCAGGCCTGCCACCCGCGCCGCGTTTGTGCGCGTGTGGTGCTTTTCGGGCCAGATCGGTCGAATCCTTTCACGCCTACAAATTTGTCCTGGCAGAGGCCGTCCCGCGCGGCCCCCCTCGCCGCCAAACGCCGCACGGCGAGCCGGCGGCGGCGGCGGCACGGCGGGGAGGGTGGCGGGGGAGGGGGTGTCACTCGATACTCTGCGGCAACTCCGCCACTTGTACGTCGGGGCCTCGGGCGGGCCTCGGGGTGGGGGGGGGCTCGGAGGGGGCCACGGGGCTCCGTGCCAGCACCTCGAGGGCAGGGGCGGAGGGCGGTGATGGGGGGGGGGGGGACGTGCACACGTTGAGCCTTACTTCGTTGAGGAAGGCGACTATCTGCTCTACAGTTAAGTAATCCGTCTCTCCTCCGTTGCTGCGAACGAAACCAACCGACAGACACGCACACGCACGCGCGAGCTGTTAGCTTGTCACCGTGGCGATTGTCTCGTTTGGAGGGGGGGGGAGAACTGCCGTCAGAATCAGACACGGGGGGGGCCCCCCCCCCCCCCCAACCAGCAGCAACCACGACGACAGGGAGCGACAAAACCGAGCACGGCGACCGCCGGAGTGCCGACGGCGAGCGGAGAGATTGCCGCTCCACACGCTCGGCGGCTCGGGGGCGTGCCGCGGTCCCGACGCTGTTCTGCGCAAGAGCAGGGGCAGCGACGGCGGCGGTAGCAGCGCTAAGTGGTGACCGGGAGCAAATGTCCCCGGCGAGAGAGCTTCTGTGCCTTGGCGAAAAGCGAGAAGAGGCTTGCTCAGCTGTCGACGGTGATGCGGCTGCTGCACCGAACGCGCCGTCTTCCTCTGCGATCTCACAATGCGGAGCGACGGAGCGGCGGTTGACGCACTGCGCTGCTGTGAACCTGGCGCCATGGGCTCAATTCCTGGGCAGGGCTATCCATCAGCGGCATCACAACCTCTCCCGCTCGCTCTACCGCTGAGCCACCCGCCCGGATTTCCCGGTGCTGAGAGAAACGACTGGAGCCGACAATACACAATTTCAGGAATTTTTGTAAAAGAACGGACGCTGAGCCAATGGCCCTGGCGTCACGTGCCGGGCAATATCGGCGGCTAATTAAAGCGGTGAACGCGACGCCTCCGGAAGCTGCGCTCGCCGGAGAAGCTCGCGGCGCGGTCGCATCCGGAGCGTCGCGGCAGAAGCGGTGACGCCGCTCTCTCTCGTTCCCCGTCGCCGTTCTCCGTTTGAGATGGCCAGCCAATCGGCGTTTGGCGCTGGCGGGGCGGGCGGGAGGGAGGGAGGGCATCGTTCGGGGCAATCGCTTTGGCTCGGCATCACTCTCAGTTGCCTCGATTCAGGAACCGCTCGGGCCTCTCGACTGCATCTCAATTCACATGGCAACCTGAACACGAGCTTACGGGCCAAACCCACAGACGTGGCTCTGACGACACTCCGGTTCGGAGTTCCTCAAGAGACCACGCTCGTCTTGATGCCAACTCTGCACCGTTCTGTCGACTGCGACTCCGTGCACCCTCCAACGCTAAGCCGTGCACCGGCGAGGATCGGTGGCAATCGTCGTCACTTCTCCGCCCATCCCACCGAGCGTTCACGTTTCCCTGTGGGGGGGGGGGGGGGGGGGGGTGGGAGGGGGGGGGGGGGGCGCTGACACCAACGAGCGAGGCCGCGTCTCCACCCAGCGCGACCGCGGACGATGTCCGGCAGGAGCGAGCGACCCACCGTGGTTCGGTGGCTTCCTTCCTCCCCTCCCTCCCCTCCCTCCCCTCCTTCCCCTCCTTCCCCTCCTTCCCCTCCTTCCCCTCCTTCCCCTCCCTCCGCACCAGCCTGGCCACCGCAGGGGCGGCGTCAATCGGTAGACAACAGGCAATTATAAACGACGCCGGCACTTGCCGATAATTACACGATGGCCGAGCCTGACCTCCGCGCGAGGCGAGCGTCCTTCTCCCTCAGTTCGCCGCACAGAGGTCAACAGTGACGCAAACGCAGGGAGAGCTGCAGCGTACAACCCCACCTCCGTTAAGCATGGGTAGCTCCGTACGGTGTGAAAGACATTCAACTAAAAGACACACACACTAACACAGACACACACTAACAGAGAAACACACACTAACACAGAGACACACACTAACAGAGACACACACACTAACACAGAGACACACACAATAACAGAGACGCACACACTAACACAGAGACACACACTAACACAGAGACACACACACTAACACAGAGACACACACACTAACAGAGACACACACACTAACACAGAGACACACACACTAACACAGAGACACACACACTAACAGAGACACACTAACACAGACACACACACTAACACAGAGACACACTAACACAGACACACACACTAACACAGAGACACACACACTAACACAGAGACACACACACTAACACAGAGACACACAAACTAACACAGAGAGACACACACTAACACAGAGACACACACTAACAGAGACACACACTAATAGAGAATCACACTAACACAAAGACACACACACTAACACAGAGACACACTAACACAGAGACACACACACTAACACAGAGACACACAAACTAACACAGAGAGACCCACACACTCACGCGATTTTGACAAGGCGTCGTCTAAAGCAGGGGTCCCCAAACCCCGGTACCGTGGCCTGTTAGGAACCGGGCCTCACAGCAGCAGGAGGTGAGAGCGGTGAGTCCGCACGTGGCCTGCCCCCATTATTTTATTATTTACCACTTCCGTCCGCGCCTCTTTCCCGCACTGCGCACTTGTCTCTCTCCCGGTTTCTCAGCTGGATGAAGCTTTGCTTCCTAATGAACCCCAACGGTCACATCCCCGTGAGAAGGTGAGGTGACCGCTGGCACTGGGTGGGGGGGGTGCTCCCGGCAATGCCCCAGATCCCTCCCTTGCCCCTGAGAGGTGAGCTGTGCTCTGACCTTCCCTCCCTCCCTCCCTCCCTCCCTTCCTCCCTCCCTTCCTTCCTCCCTCCCTCCCTCCCTCCCTCCCTCCCTCAAACGAGTAAAAAACAAACGTTGCTGGAGAGCTTCTTTGAAAAGGGGGAAAGACCCAATGATGAACCCCCCCCCCCTACCCTGTTCCGTGAAAAAATTGCCTTCCACGAAACCGGTCCCTGGTGCCAAAAAGGTTGTGGAGCGCTGCAGTCTAAAGGGACCTTGCTCCACACACCCGGGGGGGGAGGGCGGTGGAGGTGCCCGAGACGAACTCACAGCTTCCTGAAGAGCTCCTCGATCTCTGTGCGTGGGCAGATCTTGTGGTAGAGCTCGTAGAACTTCTCAAAGGTGAACGATGCCAGCTCCAGCTCCTCGTTCTGAAACGACGATGGCGGCGGCGATGGCAAGGTGGCCGACAGGGCGCACGGCGGCAGCTCTTTGTGCATCATCGTCGTCGTCGTCGTGGTGGGCATTGTTATCATCGTCGTCATCGACATCATCATCGTCGTCGTCGTCATCGTCGTCGTCATCATTACAATCGTTATTGTCATCGTTGTCGTCATCATTGTCATCGTCGTCGTCATCGCCATCATCATCATCGTTGTCATCGTCGTCGTCATCATCGCCGTCGTCGTCGTCATCATCGTGGCAGTGTTATGCGACGTGTAGGGGCCCAGTTGGTCTGTGCTCTACCGTGGACCAAGCCCCATTGGTGTGTCTGTCGATGGCGTCAAGGGAGCAGCAATGAAGTTGGGAGATCCACAACCCCCTGCGAGGAGACCCGAGACTGATGGGGCCCGCCATGCAAGCAAGACGCACGACAACTTGATTGTTGAGCATCGTTGCCTTCACATCTTTTATCGTATTAACACTGTCAGACTGTCTTGCTCTAAACCCCAACACACGGTGCAGCAACCAAAATAATATATATACAGTAGCGTTATAGCTTCGCAAATTATTGTTACATACAAGGGGGTTAAAAAACATCGCGTGGCTATTTCAGTTGAAAGCGAGTCGGGAGAAAGGAGGAGTGGGGGGCCCACCAGCTGCCCCCCTGTCGAGGGAGTTCGTTGTTGCGCCCCCGAGCGCCACATTCAGGAGCCACGCCTTAGGAGGTGGCATCACGGGGACCGCCAAAACCAACACTGGGGCCCAGCGAGCCGGCGTACCGCGACAGCGCCCGGAACAAACAACGACGGGGTACAGCCCCCCCCCACCCCGTTCCACCTCCCACCAAGCGCCAGGGGTGGGGGGGGAGCCGGCGGATTCGATTCACGCGGCACCACCGCCACCGTGACTCCGCGTGCCACGGAGCTCGCGCGCCGCGGAGCTCGCGTGAGGCGGAGCTCGCGTGAGGCGGAGCTCGCGTGACGCGGAGCTCGCGGGCCGCGGAGCTCGCGCAACGCGGAGCTCGCGTGAGGCGGAGCTCGCGTGCCGCGGAGCTCACGCGCTGCGGAGCTCACGCGCTGCGGAGCTCGCGCGCCGCGGAGCTCGCGTGAGGCGGAGCTCGCCTGCCACGGCGGGGTTCCCACGGTGGGTGTCAAATAACGACGCACATCCGCAACTCGAGCGCGCTGCACGAGAGTGGTGGTGCCCGTTGGGTTTTTATTTTCACGGAGAGGTGGGTGGCCACGGTCCAGCGGAGGAGAGGGAGGAATTGAGCCTGAGCTTGAACAGAGGGCAGGGCAAGGGAAGGGAGTTCCAGACCGTGGGGGCAGCAGAGGAGAACGAGCGACCTGATGCTGAGCGAAGGGTGGAGTTGGCCCCAGCGTCTGTCCCTGGACCCGCTTACCTTGCCACTGGGCAGGCCCAGCTCCTTCAGAGCCTGGAAGATCACCTTCTCCGTCTTCCCAGATGCAAACGTCCTCGTGATGCTGTAGGGAGGGAGGGAAGGAGGAGAAAGGATGAGGGAGGGAGGAGGATGAGGAGAGGGGGAAGGTCAGAGAAGCTCAGCTCTCAGGGGCAAGGGAGGGACTTGGGGCATTGCCGGGAGCACCCCCCACCCAGTGCCAGCGGTCGCCTCACCTTCTCACGGGGATGTGACCACTGGGGTTCATTAGGAAGCAGAGCTTCATCCAGCTGAGAAACCGGGAGAGAGAGAGGGGGCGGCACACGGCGAGCGAGTGAGAGATTGGTTCAGCACTCACATGGAAACGCATGCATCGTCGCCATTGTCATCGTCGTCGTCATCATCATTGTTATCATTGTCGTCATCATCGTCATCATCGCCGCCATCATCATCATCGTCGTCGTCATCCTCGTCATCATTATCGTCATCGTCATCATCATCATGATCATCATCGTCTCATTGTCAACGTCACCGTCATTGTCGCCAGCCCAGCGTCGAAGGCAGTCACTTAACCCGAGTACGTTCGATGGGAGTGAAAAGCCCACGACTACACGAATGACTCCTCGCCTCTTCAACGTGTCTGAGACGCAGTGCCCAAAATCGTGCACAACGCACAGAGACGCAGCTCCTGGCCGTGGTTTAGGGGCTTCCCCTCATTGCGACGCAGCACGGCGGCAAAAACCCCCCACGGCCGCGACGCCCGGCCCAGGCCGTGAGCCGGGGCGCGGGCCCGGTCGCTGTATGCCATCTGCGTGTGGGTCTCTGTGCGATGAGTCAGCAAATAATATCAATAAATTAATCTCCTGATAAAAATAATAGAGACGTCAATGGCGAAAACAAAGGGATGCACTCCATGGCTATGCCGTGCGTGGCCGCATGTTGCCGTGCATGGCCAGGCCGTGCGTGGCCGTGCATGGCCAGGCCACGTGTGGCCGCACGTGTGGCCACGTGTGGCCACATGTGTGGCCACGTGTGGCCGTGCATGGCCACACGTGGCCAAACGTGTGGCCGTGCATGGCCAGGCCACGTGTGGCCGCGTGTGGCCACGTGTGGCCACGTGTGGCCGTGCATGGCCAGGCCGCGTGTGGCCGCGTGTGGCCACGTGTGACCACGTGTGGCCACGTGTGGCCGTGCATGGCCAGGCTGTGCATGGCCGTGCATGGCCAGGCCGTGCGTGGCCGTGCGTGGCCGTGCGTGGCCGCGTGTGGCCGCGTGTGGCCGTGCGTGGTGCATGGGCGGCGCCGCTCACTGCTTGCGGAGGCAGGTCATGGGCGAGACGTTGTTGGCACGGAAGTTGTGGATGATCGACTTCAGGCTCTCGAGCCATTTCTGTGCACAGGACAACGCAAATGACGCAACGCCAAGTGGAGTTAGTCAGGTCAACAGGCGACCGCTGCACGGGAGCAGAGGGAGGGGGGGAGAGAGAGAGGGGGGGGGTGGGACGTGAGAACCACGGGGCAATGGAGGGGGGGGGCGTCTCCCTCTATCAGGGAGGCGGCGTGGCGACGGCGCCGTGGGCGGTCACCTTGGCCGTGTCGGCGCTCTCCGCCACCAGGTACATGTTGCTCAGGTTGACGAAGTCGGCGCCGCTGCAGATGCAGAGGATGCGGCCCTCCAGCTCCACCTCGGGGTGGCCAGCCGCGGCCACCGCCGCACCCGCCGCCTCCAGGGCGGAGAGCAGCTTCGGGTCCTACGGGGATTGGGGGAGGAGGTGGAGGGAGGTGGCACACGGAGGAAGTGTGTGGGTGGTGGTCGCTGTAGGAAGTGTGTGGGTGGTGGTCGCTGTAGGAAGTGCGTGGGTGGTGGTCGCTGTAGGAAGTGCGTGGGTGGTGGTCGCTGTAGGAAGTGCGTGGGGGGGTGGTCGCTGTAGGAAGTGTGTGGGGGGGTGCTCGCTGTAGGAAGTGTGTGGGGGGGTGCTCGCTGTAGGAAGTGTGTGGGTCGTGGTCGCTGTAGGAAGTGCGTGTGGGTGGTGGTCGCTGTAGGAAGTGCGTGGGTGGTGGTCGCTGTAGGAAGTGCGTGTGGGTGGTGGTCGCTGTAGGAAGTGCGTGGGGGGGTGGTCGCTGTAGGAAGTGTGTGGGGGGTGGTCGGTGTAGGAAGTGCGTGTGGGGGGTGGTCGCTGTAGGAAGTGTGTGGGGATGGTCGCTGTAGGAAGTGCGTGTGGGGGGTGGGCACTGTAGGAAGTGCGTGGGTGGTGGTCGCTGTAGGAAGTGCGTGGGTGGTGGTCGCTGTAGGAAGTGTGTGGGGGTGGTCGCTGTAGGAAGTGTGTGGGGGGTGGTCGCTGTAGGAAGTGTGAGTGGTGGTGGTCGCTGTAGGAAGTGCGTGGGGGGTGGTCGCTGTTGGAAGTGTGTGGTGGTGGTCGCTGTAGGAAGCGTGTGGGGGTGGTCGCTGTAGGAAGTGTGTGGGGGTGGTCGCTGTAGGAAGTGTGTGGGGGGTGGTCGCTGTAGAAAGAGCGGGGACCTCCTGCCACAGCGTGAGCTCACGAGGAGACCGCCCTCCCGTGCAGAGCGGCAGCAGCAGCAAGCGAGGCTCACCTTGGGCACGGCTCCATAGCGAACGTTGCTGATGAGGGAGATTTCAAGCACCTGCCCCTCCTGTCGGTGACGACGACCACGGGGAGATGGGCACGGGGAGACAGACACACGGAGACAGAGACAGGGAGACAGACACGGGGAGACAGACACGGAGAGACGAGCACCTTTTGAGAACGTCATTTTAATCCGAGCGCATCACACGTTCTCATTACCGCCGCGATATTAACTTGCACGGCCGATGACAGGATCACGGGCGTGATTCTGGCGCTATTGCCTACAAACACGCCACCAACTTGCATTGACCGGCGTGGAGATGTACGGTCAAATAACCACCCCCACCCCGCGAGGACCCAGACGGAGTGGGAAGGCCTTCGTCCAGCAATGGATCCTGAACTCGGTCGATCGAATCAAACGCCGCACGACAGAATCGTCCAAATTCACCGAGGTCGAGCTCCGTCATCCACTCGCTCACTCATCCCGCCGTCGCTTCGTTCCCATTGTCCTTCACCTTTCCTTCACTCTTCCAGCGCAGGAAGAAGCCGAACTCGTCCACCTGGAAGAGGCAGCTCAGCTCCACGCTGCCGGATTCCTGCGCGACAGAGTTAGATGAGAGAGGGGGGAGAGATAGGGGAGTGTGTGGAGGGGAGTCGAGTGAGGTGAGATGGGGGGGGGGGGGAGGTAGGTGAGTGCGTGGAGGAGAGTCGAGTGAGGTGAGATAGGGGGGGAGGTAGGGGAGTGCGTAGAGGGGAGTAGAGAGAGATGAGAGGGGAGAAGAGGTAGGCAGGAGAGAGTCAATGCAGGATCTTTAAGGCACTGAGTTCAATCATTCTCTGGGCTTGGGGGCCGATGTAGGACGCGGGGAGGCGAGGGACGGGGGAGCAAGGGATGGAGGGGGGGGCGAGGGATGGGGGGGGGGGGCGAGGGACGGGGGGGGGGGGTTGGGTGCACCTCGTCGTAGCGGTCGAACACGGCTCCCTGCTGCAGGAAGTGGGGGAGCTCCTTCTGCCACTTGAACTCGTACGTCTTGGGCATGGCGCATCTAGTCCTGCACACCTTCATAAAAAAACAAAGGTCCACCGTCTAGCCTTGAACATGCTGTCGGGCCAAGTGCTGTTAACGATCGCCTACCAAGGATGACACGAGCGGGTGGGTCCCCAGCACCACGCCCGGCCGACTTTGTCTCCCCAGTGGCGATGTTTACACACCGCACCAGGTACTAATACGAGGCGGAGCCGACCGAGGCGAGGCCCATGACCGGTTCAGATAATCGCCACATGGGGTAACTGCCCAGAATAACAACGTGTGGTGGTGACCACCAGGCTAACTACACTAATTACAATGTGACTAGCTACTACGGACCGGGACCACAGCTCGGGTCCCGGTCCACGTGTTGGACACTCTGTAGAACGTAGACGAAGGTTTCTTCAGGATGAACAACAACAACGCCGGTCCCTCTGGGGGACCCGGCTTAGATCCTCCACGGCATGGCTGGCTCCGCCCTTGGCCAGGCCCACCTTCCAGGTTCCTGGAGCAGGATCTGGACCCCGATCACGTGACCCCCCCGGCCCCCACTTGGGGCCCCTTTGTAGACTTAACCGGTCACGTGTCCTCAACCAAAGTGCCATGGCCTTTAGTAACCTCATTCCTATGGCCGGCACTCCCAAACCCTGTCCTGTAGGGGCTGGCACTGCACGCTAAGCGTGGTGCCACCCAGCGCTATCAATCAGCGCTCACCGAGCCCCTCTAGGGCCGGTACTACACCCACACCCTCGTGGTGTCTGCGATGTCGTCACACCGCACGCGGTGCCTCTCCAGGACCGGCACTACATGCTGACATCCCGCGAAGTCACTACACATATACACGCATGCACGCACACCTAAAAGCACAATGTACACCACGAATACAACATGCACTCCCACAGACAAGCGCGCACGCACACACGCGCGCGTGCTTGCTCTCGCACGTCCGCCCACGCGCAGCGTGCACGTGAACATTTGCCGCCAAAAAAAATCACGGCGCGTCCAGCACGCCGCGCTGCATTTCCCGGCACAGGCGCGAATCTCCCGTCGAGGCTGGAATTGCCGCTACTCCCAACAAACGGAGGTGGCGGCCAAACTAAAGCGCCCAAAACGCGGCCCCCACTCCCCGCTGTCTCTGCCAAATGGAGATTTACACCTGGCGGGGAACTCACGCAGTCCTGGCCTCCGTGCGGCATGGCACAGTGGCGCCGTGGGGATGGGGTGGAGGGGATTGGGCGGAGGGGTTGGGGTGGAGGGGTTGGGGCGGTGTCGCAACGGCGCTAGGACTGCAAATGCCGAGACGCAACACAAACGGCCAGGAGGACATTTTTCGTGCAAATGCCGCGATGACGATGATTCTGAGAGATCTCTCCCCAGGACGGCAGCAGCTGCCTCAATCGACGAGATGACCGACCCTGGGACAAACCAGGATGGGTCGCGACCCAACTGCCTGGCCTGCGTGGTGCCACCACTCAAGCGGGGAACAGCGGCTCGGGAACACAACCTCCTGAACATCGTCACTCTCATCACTCTCTCACCCGGCCACCTCTTCATCTCTCCCCTCCACCCCCCCCCCCCCCCCCTCCCCCGTTATCGCTCCCCCTGCAGGTGGCCGTGTCTCCGCGCGAGCCGCTCTCTCTCCACCCGCTCAGTCAATCTCGCATTGCAACGGAACAGGAACGTTAACAAGGGCCGAAAAAATAAACCCATTACGACCTCGGCAGCCAACACCCGACCGAGTGGAACCATGCCGCTGGGCTCGGTGCCACCGCACAGCCGGCTCGGCCGCGACTGGCGGCCGTGGCGGTCAATCGCTGCGGTAGTTGCCGAGCCGCGGCCCCCCCCCTCTCTCTCTCTCCATCTCTCCCGGGCGCGGAGCGAGCGGAGGAGCGAGCATCGAGTACAGCGCGACCCCCTGCGGATCTTTCATGTCGGATCAAAGCGGCCGCGGGCGGCGTGCGGCGGAGGACGCGGCACGGTAGAGCGAAGCCACGTGGGGAGGGCGCCGGTGGTGACGACGATGGCACCGCCTGCCGTGACGTGTGCCGGCCGACGCGGCGTGGGGGCCCCGTGGTCACCGATCGTGACTTCCACAGTGGCGAGATCTGAATTCCCTTGCCAGGTATGCAGGAGGTCGTGGGTTCGATCCCAACCCTGGCACCTGCTGTATATTTGGAGTTTGCGTCTCTCTCTCTCTCCCCATGGTCCGCGTGGATTTTCCTCTGTTTTTTTCCTCCACATCACGCATTTACAGTATTTGGCTGCTTTTAATTTCCACGTGATGACGATAAGCCACTTCGTTGAGCTGTCATTTGTGATAGCCAAGTCGCTTCATTTGTGATAGCCAGGTCGCTTCTGAAAAAAAGCTCAACAGCTCAGTGGGCCTTACCTGTGGGAAAATGACTGCCCCCTCCCGTGCATTGACCGAGTCAATTGATCAATCGAGGAAGGGATCTCAGGGGTAGCTCTGGGATTAACGCTTCCGCGGGCCGTTCTCCACCATTCTCCGAGAGCTCCGGGTGGTGGTGGGGGGAGGAAAGTTAATCTCGAATGTTTGCCGCCACGCCAACATCGGCGATGCGGAAAACATCGGAGGGGGTGGGGAAGGGGGGAGAACCACCAAAAAACGTCGCCAAACAAAAGTTGGGCCGCCGCCAGTGGAGGAGGGAGCTGGGGGCCGCGGGCGTGGCGACGGCTGGCGGGCGGTGGCCCTCACGAGCCCAGCCGGAGACTCGGCCGGTCGGCACGACGGTGGAGGACGCCGGCGGCCGCCCGCACGCGCAACGCGGAGGGAGCGGAAGCGCCGCGGTAATTGAGAGCACTCAGCGGGGGGTGGGGGGGGGGGGCAATGACAGCAGCACACCGTCTAACCCCGAGCGTGCCTGCACCAATGACGAAGATCCCCCCGTAGAGCACTGAACAGACTGTTGGGGCAAGCGCTGTTGCCGAGTAGCGATGAAGGCCGGCACCGTGGCACACGAGGGGGTGTTTTGGTCGGCACCGCACCCGGCCGCGTTTGTCTCCCCCAGCGGTGCTGTTTGACACGTCGCGCGAGGCACTCATTTAGGGCCCAGTCGACGTTAGGGGAGGCCCAGGACCAGGTTCAGATAATCGTCACCGGCGTTGGCTCTGAGCGGGAATCGAACCTCAGACTGCCGAGTTCGTAGTGCAGTGCCACCACTACCACCAACGCCACCACTACCACCAACGCCACCACTGCATGAGCGCTACCGTCTTCCTCAACCGTCTACAATGCATCGCGGAACCCACCACCTCCACCGGTCCATCCTACCACCACTGTCCACCGCCACCGCTGCCAAAAACACAACCAGCACCGCTGTCACCGCACCGCTGCGTGGTGCTCGCCGCCCCCCTCCCCGGTGCACGCTGGCCCCGAGCCCCGTCTCGTGCCGTTATGCGCACGCGCATTCGGACTCCGTTGCGAACACAATTGCGCGCGATTGCGAACACAATTGCACGCGATTGCAAAAAAAAAAGCGATCGCGTACAATTGTGCCCATCGAGCCGAATGACAGCCAGGGTGGCGGCGATTACTGCACGTGGCCTGTGACCCAGCAGCGTGGAGGAGGCGGCGAGGGTTGGTGGATCACAAAGACAAAGATCTCCCGTATAGCCTATAGCAGACTGTTGGGGCAAGTGCTGTCAGCGAGCAGCACCTCTGAAGGCCGGCATGGCACACGAAGGGGTGGGTGGCCGGCATCACGCCGGGCCGCCTTTGTCTCCCCAGTGCCGATGTTTACTATGCACCGCACCAGGTACTCATTTGAAGCCGAGTCGACCTAGGGGAGGCCCAGGACCGGTTTAGACAATGGTCACCGGTGTTAGCCATGATCGGGAATCGAAGTGGTGACAGTGGGTTTGCAGTGCAGTGTAGCGTAGCGCTAACCGCAACACCACCATACTAAATTTTGATTTAAAGCTTTCATGACTGCAGTAATTCATATTCTTAGCTCTTTAGGTAAAGTCACGTTGAAGGGAAACAATAAAATATATTGTTTTATATATATTTTATTATTTTATTGTTTGCCTTCAACGTGACTTTACTGAAAGAGCTAACAATATGAACCACCACACTAACTCGTGAAACTCCCTCCCTTACCCGTGGCCGTCGATGTCGCCATCTCCTCCCGGATCAAGGGCCAGGGGTTGCGATGGCAGTACAGCAGGTAGGTTAATATTCATCTGTATTCCATCTGTATAGGGGCCGAGTGTTATTACCCCCCCCCCCGCCCCCACCTCCCCACACTGTTGTATGCGCGGGGTTTTTCTCTGGGTTCTCCTGCTGCCTCCCTCGCGGATGAACGCTCATTCACGGAGTCGACCAAGCATCACAATACCGGACCACGTGGTCCAAATACTGGACCACGTGGTCCCAATACCGGACCACGGAATTGCTTGGTGGCGCCGGTTCCGGCCGCCTTCCCCAGTCTGTCCACGTTGCTCCCGCGCCTCTGGATCCCCCCTCTATCGCCTCCGAGAGAGCGGACGCGAACCAACGCACGCCGTGTCACCAACTCCACGCGAGTGTCCGTCACGCGAGAGGGAGGCGCCAGCGTGGCAGATCACCGCCGGGTGCCGTCGGCGCCGGTTGGTACGATGGGCGTCCCCGGGCCCGCGTGCATCCCCTCGCTTCGTCTCCCACAGCGACAATCCCACTCCCTGCCCCCACCCAGGGTGTGCGCGTCCTCCCCACGCTCATCCCCGCGCACCTTTCCGGCGCCTGCCGCGCTGCCTCTATCGGTGCGAGAGAAGCACGAATCCGGTCACCTGCGCCGCGGGACGGACCGCGGCCGCCGAGTGTCCCGACGGCAGGGGATGGACACCGCCCCAACGCCACTTCCGATGAGAAGTCGCGGCTCGTCGACCGTGGGCGAGCGGGAACATCCCATCGGCCTTCTCACCGATGGGATGGGGGGGCGGCTCTCCACTTTCTAAAAAGCCCCCTCCCCCCGTCGTCACAAGCCCCGATTACGATGCCGGCCCAACGGCTTGATGGACGTGAGCCCGGCCGC